CCAACAGAGTTTGTAGCGTCTGGTTCGGTTCATTTCAGCATGTCAGGCCATACAGCCAACCAGTTTGTAGCGTCTCGGTTCGGTTCATTCGGGTTTACGGGTGGACCGGGAAGGGGTGTTACAACTTCAAATTCTTATGTAGGTTAGGACGGTGCCTCCGGCACCGAATGTGGCATCCACCGTCGGGTCTTTCGGGATCGGACGGCGGGTGTTACAAAATGTCAACACAATGTGAGAAGTGACAATCGAGTTAATGTCTTACAAACTCAATACTCTCTTGCAAACTCAAGAATCTATCACCAAGAGGGATTGGGTTCTTAAAGACAAGGAATCTCCCATGCTAAAATCTTATAGGATTATGTTGGGTTTTGTAACTATGGTAAAGTTGACATTTACACACTATAAATTAATTTTGTGGATATTTTGTTTCATCTGTCAGTTATTGTTAAGTTGCAGTTATATTGTTGTAATTAACAATAAATAGAATTACTATGTATTTCATGCGACTATGTGTTGTCCTTTTTATGAAACGTAATTTGTTTATGAAATTTATTATTTGTTTGCTACGTAAATTTGAATTATGATTTGATAGTTGAATTATAATTAAGGCATCTAGAATGTATTTTGCAAAGATCAATACTTCAAAGAGATTTTGAGTGCTTTTGGAGTGAAAATTAAGCATCTATTTATAGGTGTTCAACTAAAGGAGAAAAAGGCATTTTTCATCGTTGGATTCTACGCACAACCGCTAATCAAGCTTGGTGTAATCACCGGTGGTCAGCGTACCGCCATTGTAGTTAAACACCTAAGGCTGGCAGTCGACAGCAATCACGAGTGCGATTAGGGTTTTTGATTCGATTCAATTCTACTTTCAACTAGTTCGACCGGTTCATAACTTATTTGACATCTGAGTTGGGTCCATGATATACTGTTGGAAAGCTCTTGACGTCTATTTTCATTAATACCAAGTTTTTTTAAAAAATTCTCTGTCAAAAGAGTTATAGCCTAAAGAGTGAACAAAGATTACATCCAATCCTTTATCAATTCGCTATTGATTTTGAACCTCACTCCTTATTATTGCTTTTACACAATATGAAAGTATAAAAAAACACATTATAAGCCAAGATGCTTGCCGAGATAAGCCATTGGTAACTCATTATATATAGATATATTAATTTATTTTAAACATGCGTTGCATGTTGTTTGTACCTATTGTATGTCCTTGTGTTTTGATTCTTTTTATATATAATTTCTTATTAAATTTTTATAGATGATATTTTTCCATATCCCTAAAAACTTTGAAGACCCTCCAAATTGAGTTTAAAACTGAGTTGGATATAATTAATTATGATAAAATTATTTTCTTGTTCTTCAGCTTTCCAATGCTTTGCTAGAAGAAATTTCAACATTTTTAAAGAGTAATAAAATTTCTTATTGAGTTCAAATAAATTGAATCATAAAACAAAACTTCTAACTAAAATAAATTTATTTTCGTATGACTTATAAGTGTATTTGCATGTAATCACTTGCAATAAGACAAAATAAAATGTATTATAAAAATTTGTTGAATAATAAATACAAATTGCATTAAAATAATAAGTTGAGTTAAAATAAATGGAACACAACCAATAAATATAAATAATATGTCTATGCTTCTATATCTATCTATCTATATTTATATTTACTATACATAAAAGTGGGAATGAAGGGAATAATGAGATTTCTGATAACGCCTTTGATGAAATTCAGGATGTCCTAAAATAACCTTAGTTATAGTCAATTAAAAAATTACATTTTATTAGTTGATCGGATATATTTATAAAAATTATTTTTTAAGTTAATCATGAGTGCTCTGATTGTTTTCCCACTTATATGAAGAGTGAGAGGTCTCGAGTTTGAATCTTCTTGACTGCAAGCGTTTTCACTAATTTGGTGAGTCTATAGGCGGATTATTCCTTGTTGTGTAACCCGCAATATTATTTCGATCCATCAGGCATCCTAATGAATAAGAAAAATTATTTTTAAAAAAATACTATAAATAATTAAGGTGGCGTTTGTTATTGTTGTTGTTTTCAGTTTTCTGATTAATTTTGGTAAAAAAAAAAAATGAAACATGTTTGTTGTATAAGTGTTTAAATTTATTTTTTAACTTTTTCAAAACAGTTTAAAAACAAAAAACGTGTTTTATGAAACTATAAATTGTAGTTTACACGGTTTTATTTATTTATTTTGATGATATGCTTCTCTCTTCTCTCTCTTACATGTCTCTCCTATAAGTCTCCATCTCCTACAAATCTATCTCCTACATGTCACAGGTTTTTCGTGTTTCAATTAAAAATTATATCTTTTTAAATATTTTATTATCGTAGTCTCTTTTTTTATCTCTTTTAATATATATATATATATATATATTTTTTATCTCTTTTAATATAATATATATATATATATATGAGTGATTTTGTATATTAAAAATGTTTATAAAAAAAAGAAAATCAGAGGAAAAGAAAAAGAACAGTTCTTCAAAAATTTCAAAAAAATCAAAATCACAAAAACATTGGTTTTGGTTTGTTAGAATGAAAACAAAAAACAAAAAATATAACAAACTACCCCCTAAGCATTTAAAAATTTTTAAATTTTATTTTTACTAAATTTATTATTTTAATGAAATTATACTAATTGATAATAAGGACATTTGAAAACTTTTAATATTATTATATTAAATAAAAAAAAAATTAACTTCTATTTGATTTTAATTTTAATATGTATCTAGGGATAGATAAAAAAAAAAAAGAAAGATATATTTTTTATTAATTTCTTTTTTCATGTTTTGTATAATTTAATAGATATATTTTTAAATATAAATTTTTCAAATAGGAATATTATTAATTTTTTAGATATGTGAAATAAAAGAAAAGAAGAAAAAAAGTATATTATTTTTATTAATATTATTTTCTTTATGTTTGTAAGGTTTGATGTGATATTATTTTTAAGAAGTAAAATTTCAAATAGAATTTACATAATTAAACCTTGGATGGCAAACGGTTGAAAATTTTAATTTAAAATATATATATATAATAATTTATTGATATATTGGTACATTTTTATACATTGAGACATTTTTTCTTATGTGAGTTTTAGAAAAGTGTTATTCCTAATAATAATTTTTATTTTATTTTTCGTTACTGAATAATTTGTAATTACTATCGTTTTAATTTAATTTAGTAAGAGATTTATATCTTCCTTCAATAAATAGACAGCCTATTAATGATTAAACATTTTTAATCTTCTTGATATTTTTTTTCTCTTATATCATAAGTTTGTTTACTCTTAAAAGAAACTAGTGTTTAAAAAATAGAAAAAAAAAACTGTTTAGGTCACTTTTTGGAGTTTCAAGAATTTGTGTGTGTATACATATATTCATTTCTCTGATGCATTACGTAAATAATACTGCAATTGTAGTCGAAGTGATTTTCATTATCAATTCAAATCATCTTCTCATTTCTTTTCTTTTACCTTGCAATAAAAAATAATTTTTTATTATTTTCATTATAGTTATATATGAATATTGATTTGGGATTGAGAGTAGGGAGTTAGAGATTGAGTGATGACTTGATTTTCTTTCGGGCACTTATCAGGATTTTTAAAATCTGCATTTATAAATTAGAAACTAAAGGATTAGTTATAGGATTGGGCTGAACATTATTCTGAGATCACTTCATTTTATAAAAATAGAATTAAGTACATAAGAAGTAGCATTACAAGTAGTTTGTAATATAAAATGCAATACAAAATAACCACTTGTATTTATTTTAATCTAAACAAAATTTATACTTTAATATTATGTAGAAAAACAAATGAGTATATAATGAATATAGTCAACGTGCAACCGCACGTCATACAAGAGACCGGTAATTATAAATATGAGAAAGAGATCCAATTCATAGATAATAAATCAATAAATCAAGTTTCAATGATAATATTTATTCACTCAAACTCAAAAAGAATAAAAATTCATATCTCAAATGTCAAGTTTAATTACCTATAAATGGTTTGTTTGCAATTTCATATTTTTATTTATACAAAATAAGTAGTTTAACTATTAAAATGTATTGTTCAAGAATTTAATTTGAGAAAGGAATTTTTTTTTTGTTTATGGAAAATAAATTCTCAAATTTAAATAAAAATAAATACATTAAAATATAATTTAACTGTAATAAAAACTTTTTAAAAAAATTATATTAGAAATATGTTATAAAATTACTATATATATACAAAAATTCAATTAGACCATGTTCAACAACAACTTTTGAGCTGACTTTTAACATTATGATTATACAACTTTATAATAACTTTTAGAGATTAAAAGAACTAATAACTAATAGAGTAGGTAATAGCTACTATGTTACAACAACTAACAACTCTTTAAAAGTTTCCCATGTTAAGGAGGCGGAAATAGCTAGCTGTGCGATCATACCTAAAAAAGAAGAGAATGGACTGAAAATCAGAAAAGACCAAAGACATCCAGAGACCAAATTAAAAGTATAGAAATATGACAGAATTAATACTCCACTTGTTTTTTCGTAAAATAACTTGCTGAAAAATATTTTTTATAATTTTTTTGTTGTTTGAGTCGTTCAAAAATATAAGTGTCAAAGAAAAATTAAGCAATTTTTAAAGAAAATGAGTTCCCATTTTCAAGAGAACATTTTCCGAATTTTAATAAACTTATTATAATCTTATATATCCATATTTTAACAATTTAATAATTATCGATAGCCACTACTACCACTCACTGTTTACCACCATCGGCTATTGTCGACCACCACCACCAGTCACCAGCAGCTTTCATAATTTAATATATTTTTTTTCACATTATTCTTATATTTAACTTAAAATTATTAAAATATAAAACTTATATTATTATTATTATTTTTTTTTTTATGGTCTTATAAGTTAAAAATTTTAATATTTTAACTCATTTATAAATTACAACCAAACAATGAAAAATAAGTCATTTAAAAAATATTTTCCTTGAAAAATATTTACATATAGTGAATGGGGTAAGAGTATTCAAGTACTAAGGAATACAGTTTCAAATGTAGTTTTCAATTGATTACATCTCACGAAACATTGCCCACAAGTGCAAATTGCATTAGCAGCCAGGTAAGCTTAGAAAAGATACTGACTGGACATTCACTTGAGAAAACCCTGTCTCACAAAGTTGGAGATTCAACTCGACAAAAATAAAAATTCAACTTTACCCTCACACACGTTTTGGTGGAATGTATTGCACACGTTCATCTTCACATAAATTCTGCAAGAAGCCCAACAGAATGGTCAATTTAGATGACGTATGACGCACAATATACATAAGAGAACGAACATAAAGTTCAAAATATAAAAGATCAAATAAGCATAGTAGTCAGCTTAATTCTTCCATTTTGTCTATTTGTGATTCTCTCTGCCTATCTGCCATATAAAATGCAGCCACAGAAAAGTATTTAGCAGCCAAAAAGAATCTCATGAAATTTTTTAAAGACTGATCCGTTATAATCCCAAATCAAGAAATGGAATTCTACCTTCAGCCGTCAAGTTAAACAAAATCAACATGAAACGTATTCCACCTTAATCTCAAAGTAAGAAAAAAGGAAAAAGGAGAGAGGGAAGAAGAAAAGAAGGGTTAAGGAGATAGAGAAGGGACGTTCAACCACCAATATAAGCAGCAATTAGCATGACCAGTAACATGAGGCTAAATGGTGCAAACGAGCGCATTCTGGAAATAGTAACCTTCACAGCAGTACAAAATGCTCCAAAATCTTGGAATTTTAAAGTGCCATGAACTTGCAGCATAAAGAGACCACAGTGCATGGTTCAAATAAGTAGCAAGACAAACATAAACACTAGTAAACTTAACAAGCACCATTCCATCTTTTTCTCAGACACGACCTATAAAATAGCAAATCAACCTCAACATGTTCACACTTAAAAGGCAGTTGATTCTGATGGAACATTCAAACTATTAATCCTCTTAAGTCAGCAGTAAGTTAGTACTAACCAGCTGAATTGGACTTGTGCTTAGCATGCATAAGTCAATACTCAGTTAATCCTCTTAACCTTTGAGTGACTAAGTAGATAGAAAAATTATTTACTTAAGTGGAAAATCATTTTCAGCAATGAGTAATATAAATTGCAGTGAGCACAAAGATATAAACCTGCAAGTCTTCTGGCAGTGCCTCTGAGACAGCAAGAGTGTAACAACCGGGAACGAATCTTCCTGCAGAAGATTTAAGAGAAAAATCTCAGTGAAGAGGATTGCTGATCTAGTATACCACATCATATATGTGACAACACATGAAAATGACAAGACGCATCACTATGTTCCAGGAGGTAAAAACACATTCAATTCTAAACCACCGGCTCTCTCTCCAGAATCCTCTCTATTTTCCATTGTTGCTCAACCACAAACTTACATGTGGCTATGATTTATTGTTGACCATGAGATCATCAACTTAGAGTTAGAATAAATGAGTTGAGTACTTGGGCGAGAAACAAATTGTTTGGTGAAGAGTAAAAGAGATTATGGTGAGTGAAGGAAGAAGAAAGACCAAGCAAAGTTTAGAGTGTGTTTTAGTAAGACTACTTACTTACATTAGTATTACTTAATTATAGACAGAGCAGAATTGAAATAAAGAATTCATATAATCAACCTCAACAGTTTGAGATTAAAGCTTAGTTGTTATTGCTGGTGTTGTTTGAGAGGTGCTATTCAATTGTAAAAATTATAGTTTAGTCATTCTTAATAAAAGTTTCTTTCAATTAAGTCCATCTTTCTCTCTTTTCATTTTCCAAATATAGGAACCAGAAATCCTAAATAGAACATCAAATTAATCTTAAATAGAACCTAGACCTGAACCTGATTCAGAAATCCTAAACACAATCAATCCTAGATCCTCCTGCCACGTCTTCTAACTTTCTAGGCATCCAGACTTGGTATAATAAACAAGCTTGAAAGAATACTTGTTCTCCACAAGAATACTTAAATCCTTGTAACTCATAAATTCAAGGGGTAAAAGGCACTTATAAGATCATATTGCACACCGCCTTAATAAAAAGGCAATAACTAGTTCGTGAGAGGAGAAATAGAAGTCAAATGGAAAAACAAAGATGTAAGCAAAGCAACTGCAGAACTGTCCCTCATACCAATTCTCAGCCAGCGAGCAGCCCAGCTTCTACTTGGGTCCATTACAGAAATTATTCTAGGAACATGCCAGCAACAAGCAAATCGTTAGAAAATAAGATAGTTATGGAGAGAAAGTTTGTAGTTTTAAAGAGAATGCATTAGCATTCACAGAACAACTAAAGAATGGGACATCCCATGAATAATGAAAATAAATAAATAAATACCCATTGAAGTTAGGGGTAGTGCAGTCGACGACACGCTCATGATCTTCATCCATTTTAAAGAATGGGCAATTCTCGCATCCAGACTCTCTAAACTGCAACATAAATATATCCCCTTTGTTTAAAATTAACTCAACCCATTATTTGGCTATGTAAGAAGAATGGTAAGGAGGGAACTGACCTGATCGTAGGTTTTAACGAGCCGGCAACGAAGACAAGCTCTCAGCTCATGACCAAAGCTAGTCGGAATTTGTGCCGGTGCGCTTCCCATTCTCTTCCGTCTTATAATTAGTCTGCTGTGGCAAGCTTGTGATTGGAAAAAAAAAAAATGCAGAACACTCTCGACCCTTTTCTGAGTGTTGAGGCTTCGAAACTTGCCTGAAATAACGAGGACATTAGGACCTTAACCATTCCACAGCGATGGGTTGGGTAGGAGTAAGATTGGGCTTGGCCCAGATACCCAATTTACAACATGAGTTTGGGCCTTTCGTGCTTTGACCAATTAATATTTTTCTTTTTCTTTTTTTTTACTTATAGAAAAATGATTATATGGAAAAAAATAAAAATAATTAATAGTTTCCTTTGCTTTTTCACCTCGTACAAGGGTTGCTTGATGTTTAGTTTTGTTTCCTATTGCTTTATAGTTTTAGTGAGATGAGAAATACTGATTCTTAAAAAAATTTTCTTGAATAATATTAATAGAAGTAAAATATGAATGCTCAATAATTGTTATGAGATATAATATGTCTTCTAATGGGATGTGATACAAATATTTATAGTGTACCTCCTATTGTAACTAAAGATGTAAATGCCTAGTAAGATTTGAGTAATAAATGTTGAGCGAGAATCTTGAACATTAATTACATATAATAACTCTTTCATCGAGCATACCTTTAGTTGAATTGGTTTGAATAATGCTAAGTCCATTCTATTAATCACTCGGTCCATTCTATTGCTCATCTCATTTTATTGATTGATCATCCCATTTTATTGATTGCTCAACCATTTTATCAATTGCTCCTAACAAAAGTCCCCCCAAAATATATCGAATCGTTTATGTTCGGTTGAAATATTTAACATATTTGTTCATTCCATTTTCTTGTTCTCTTCAATTGATTATTCTTAATCTATTTTGGCCGAACACTTGTAACTCTTCCATGTCTGCGCTAATTGTCCGTTGCTTTTTTTAAAATTATGCACCTTTTCAGTTCTAGTTGTTGATTCAAGCATCATCTTTAATTGATGTGATTTTTGGAGCTTGCGTGAATAAAAGTGAAAAATTTTATCAATAACTTGGAGCCTGATTTCTAAGCATGATCAAATCAGGATGGACAAGACTTGGGTCCAGATTAAGTTGAGTAAGAGAATGGGTCTAACATAGCCATTTTCGATGTTCCCCCAAGTTGAAGGGGGGTATTTTTATATATTTTCTCTAATGAAATTTTATATTTCTTTTTCTCAAGGTCTTTGATTTTGAGTTCTCTAACTCATTTTTATTTTGAGCTTACTTAGGCTCATGATTTTAAATGTTCAGCACGCTAATTTTAGTGCTTCTACCATTTTTCTCTATACTTTTATTTCCTTTTTGTTAAAAGGATATATAGTGTAATTTGGATGAGTGTTACTATAATTACGATGATCAATTGTAATTAGTAACTTCTTTATTCCTTTTTTTGTGAATTGTTTTTCCTCAACATTTTTTGCTCAAGAATATGATGTTCTGGATGTGTAATTTACCTGAGCAAAGTGCGGTCTACTGAATCTTGTAGGTGATCGTCTTCTTATTGAGTCCTCCTTCTTTCATTCATATGGAACTTTGATCTATGCTTGCTGGATTTCCAAGCTTCATCTAGCTGCGCATTGTTGTTTGCTCGGAACATTAATTCTGCAAAGAAAGTGGAGGATCAATATTAATGAAATCAAACAATTTTCCATGCTTATAATTTTTTGACATGGCTCTAATGGCCACTTTTGCATTTAAGTCCTCAATTTGCGTAGCTAATTTCTGAAATTTATTAAGGTACTCCTTGAGTGATTCTTGATCATCCCTTTTTAGATCAATCGGGTCTGATGATATCTTTTTCCTTGGGATACATGTGACAAATGGAGCTTTGAAGGTAAAAGCTAGTTGGGCAAATGATGCAATTAATCCTGTTTTGAGCATTTGGTACTACTCATGTGGCTAGTCCATTTAAAGTGGTTGGAAATGCTCGACATAATAGAGCATCTAGAGTTGTCTGAATGTGTATTATCGCCTTAAAGTTAGCTAGGTAATTTCTGGGATCTGTTATGCCATCGTGTGTTTGAAATGTTGGCAACTTGAATTTCAAAGGAAAAGATACTTTTAGTATTTCTCGTCATAATGGAGAATCATTCCTGAGCCCATAATCACTGTTATCTCCCGCCACTCTATATTCCTTAAGAATCTATATGATTTTTGCTCAAAAGTTTCTTTTGCTCAAATCTTTGATTCTTGCTTGAGAGTATTCTTTGCTCGCCCCTTTGATTCTTGCTCAGGAGTTTTCTTTGTTTGTCCATTTTGGAACATTTTTAATGTTCTTACTGTATGTTGTTTTTGTCCTCCAAGAGGATTCAGTTTCTTCAAGGAGGTTCACTTGCTCCTCCTCTTCTCCTTGAACCACTTGTTTTCTATTCCTAAGGGAATAATTATGTTACTGGAAGGTTAAGAAGAAGGTTGAGAACGTATAAATCGTTCTAGGACAGACACAAAGTTATTATATGCTTCTGCTAAGGCTTTTGTGACTTGCGGGCCTGTCATGGATGGAGGATTAGGAGCAGATGGAATGCCACTTTTGAGTATGATCATTTGAATGTGTTACAATATTTGAAGCCAGGCTGGACGAGACTCCATTCCTGCATTTTGAGCTTCATTGAGCAGATTTGAAATTCATTGGATGTTATTTTTAAGATAATTGTTGGGAGAAATTATTGAAAAACTGAGGTGTGTTCCATGTTCACCGCACTAATTTGATAGAAATAAAATATGAATGCTCAAAAATTGTTCTGAGATGTAATGTCTAATGGGATGTGATACAAATATTTATAGTGTACCTCTTATTGTAACTGAAGATGTAAATGTCTACCAAGAATTCTACTAATAAATGTTGAGCGAGAATCTTAGACATTAATTATATGTTTAAATGACTCTTAATAATTTTTTGACCGAGCGTTACCTTTATTTAAACTGATTTAAGTAACAGTCGATCCATTCTATTAATTGCTTCGTCCATTCTATTGCTTGCTCAGACCATTATATTGCTCATCCCATTCTATCGATTGCTTCTATCAATCTATTGCTCATTGCATTCTATCGATTGTTCAGCCTATCTTATCAATTGCTCCTAAGAAATATTATTTTCTTAACAATTGCTGTTATTTTTATTATTTTTCTTTCTTAAATGGAATATTTTTCTTAATATGAAAAAATTGCACTATTGTCGTCAATCTAATATTTGGGCCTTTCCTTAAGTTTCGATCGGAAATGGAAGCTACACATCTGCCAAACCTATTTTTTTATATATAAATAATTTATGTTGTATATTGTTATATTTTTTAATTCACGTGTGTGGCATTATTAATGAGTAAAAAAAGAGAATAATTTACGAAAATCCATTTTGAAGAGATAAAAAGATATTTATCTATCGATAGTCATATAAATTTATTAGATCATCACTTTAGATATTTGGTGTAAATGATTAGGGGATTATTTATCATATTTACATGTATGAAAATTGTTTTGATTTTATTATAATGTTAATTAGATATTACTATTAAAGATATTTGGTGTAAATGATTAGGGGATTATTTATCATATTTACATGTATGAAAATTGTTTTGATTTTATTATAATGTTAATTAGATATTACTATTAAAGATATTTGGTGTAAATGATTAGGGGATTAATAGTCATATAAATTTTTGATCATTCCCTTAAGATATTTGTTAAAATGATTAGGGGATTATTTATCATTATTTACATGTAAATGATTAGGGGATTATTTATCATATTTACATGTATGAAAATTGTTTTGATTTTATTATAATGTTAATTAGATATTACTATTAAAGATATTTGGTGTAAATGATTAGGGGATTATTTATCATATTTACATGTATGAAAATTGTTTTGATTTTATTATAATGTTAATTAGATATTACTATTAAAGATATTTGGTGTAAATGATTAGGGGATTATTTATCATATCTAATTATGATAACGCTATATTACTATTAAAGATTTATAAATATTTGACAATTAGAGTAAAATCATGTCTTCCATCAATAATGTGTAATACACCTATAAGGAAAGAGATGAAAGCAAACAAAGAAGTGTAGGAGGTCAATAGGGCCCTAAATGAGTCAAGTTTGCCGGACTCGAAGCTCAATTTACTAGAATTTAACTTGGCTCGAGTTCGGCTCGATGAATGCTCGATCTTAACTTGAAATTTAAGCTCAATTTGAAAAATTTTCAGTTTGATCTTAGTTTGAAGCTCAAGTAAATCTAATATATGTATAAACTCGATAAGACGAATTTTATGCTAAACATCATTAAGTTCGAGTTCGGCTTGTTTGCTAAACAAACAGGCTCGAGTTTGATGCTAAATTTTTTTAAAATTTTTCAAGACAAATCAATTGAAATTTGCTGTAACAACTTTACAATTGAACCAAAATTATTGAATATGATACCATACCACCAAGAATTAATCCAGATTAGGGGAAAAAAAACCAACCCACAGTATGATTATTTGGAAGCTAAATTCTTAAAATAAAAAGAAAAGTACCAATGAATTTTCCAAAGCCAATCAAAGATTTTTCCTTTTCCGAAATGGCGAAGAATTCATACAAATAAATGAAAAAAAGAAAATGTCAAGAATAAGTGAATAACTTCAAAATTAAAAAGAGCGAAATAGGTAAAGCATACTTCTCCTCTTCAACGAGGGAGATGCCCACAAAGCTTCAATCTTGGAATCAAAGTCGTCAGATTGAATGAGCCACAGCGCTCGTTATCAAGACAACGTAGTTTCCTTTCTCCCTTATCTTCCCTCTTTATTGAAAGCGTTGTTGATGCCGTAAGCTAAACAGCAGTCTAACAAGCATTCTCGTCCTCAATGCATACACATGAAACTAACATGGCGAGAAACAAAATCAGTATCACCTCTGGCGAATCTTCTATGCCAACGATTCACATCAACTCCAAACTCCAAGGAGTCAATTTCAATCAAACTCAAAGAGATGGTCTCGAAAGGACTTTATGGCCAAGCACTAGTTTTCTACAAAAAAGATCTCCATTGCGCAGGTCTCCATGAAAACTCCTTCGTTATCCCTACAATTATCAAAGCTTGTGCTTCTTCCTTTGATTACTATGACTTTGGCCTTCAATTACAAAGCCTTGTTCTTAAATCAGGTTTGGACTACGATCCCATTATCTCTAATGCCTTCATTTCCTTTTATGCTAAATCTTTGGATGATGTTGAACTCGCACTTAAGGTGTTTGATATAATGCCTATTAGAGATACCATCTCATGGAATTCGATCATAAATTGTTGTATACGAAATGGGTATTTCACTAAAGCATTTGAAATGTTTAAGGAAATGTATAAATTTGGTTTTGTACCAAAACCTGAGTTGATTGCTAGTGTTATATCGACTTGTGTAGGATTAGGATATTTGAAACTAGGAAGAGTCATTCATGCTCTTGCTATTGTTGATGAGAGGATTGAGGAGGAGGTTTTTCTTTTAACTTCTTTAGTTGACTGGTATATTAAGTGTGGTGATTCGTCTATGGCTTTAAGCCTGTTTGATAGAATGAAAGTGAAAAATGAAGTTTCCTGGACTGCCATGATTTCAGGCTGCATTGCAAATTTGGAATATGACATGGCCATTGATTGTTTTCGGGCAATGCTTATTAGTAGGATTAGACCTAACAGAGTAACATTGATTGGGATTTTACCAGCTTGTGCTGAGTTAGGTTGTGTTAAGCATGGGAAAGAAATTCATGGATATGCATTACGTCATGAATTCAATTTGGATCATCATTTCTGGTCCTCGCTTATTCCCGTATATTGCAGAAGTGGGGATATATCTCAGTCTGCCAGGCTTATTTTCGAGAGGTCAAAAGTTAAAGATGTTGTGATGTGGAGTTCAATTATTGGGAGCTATTCTCGAAATGGAGATGGCATTGAAGCTATGGAGCTCTTTAGGCGGATGAGAGGGGAAGGAGTTGAGCCAAATTCTGTGACTCTATTGGCAGTAATCACTGCCTGCACAACCTTGACTTCACTTAAGCATGGAAATGCAACTCATGGCTACATTATGAAATGTGGCTTGAACTTTGATATTTTCATTGAGAATGCACTTATAAATATGTATTCAAAGTGTGGTTGTCTTATGGCTTCGCATCAAGTTTTCAAAGAAATGCATAAGAAAGATTTAGTGTCATGGAGCACATTGATTGCTGGTTATGGCTTGCACGGTTATGGTGAAGAAGCTTTATATCTTTTTTGTGAGATGCAAGAGAAAGGGGTAGAACTGGATGCAATCACCTTCCTTTCTGTTTTATCAGCTTGCAACCATGCTGGCCTTGTCAAAGAGGGACAACAGATTTTCAATAATGTGAAGAAGGATGGGAAAATTCCACTAACTATGGAGCATTATGCTTGCCTGATTGATCTTCTTGGAAAATCAGGGAAAATTGATGATGCTTTTGACATCTTGCAAACGATGCCCATGAAACCTAGTGCAACAATATGGAGCTCTTTGGTGTCTGCTTGTAGAACTCATGGAAGATTGGAAATTGCAGAAATACTAGCACACCAGCTTATAAAAACAGAACCTGGAAATGCTGCTAACTATACTTTGCTGAGTATGATTTATGCTGAATCAGGTAAGTGGTCTGGCGTAGAAGAGGTGAGGAGACTTATGACACTTCAGGGACTAAATAAACGCTCTGGACATAGCCAGATTTCAGTAGGAAATTACAACTCTACTTTGTTTCCAATTTAGTTGTACAGTTCAGTAAGCCGACATTTCTTAAGACACCGGAATTTTAAAAACTATATATATATATATTTTTTAAAAAGTGGGTGAGAAGAAGACGAGCAGAATTGATTTGTACGTGAAGAAAAGTACACAAAGTCTGTATGAAATAAAATGTATATTCTTTCCCTCTTATTCAGCAACTGCCTTCAGTTTTTTTTCTTATGTTCCTATTTTTCTGTAACACCCACCGGCCAATCCCGGAGAACCAGACGACAGATGCCACAATCGGTGCCGGAGCACCGTCTTATGTCCCTTATTAAAGCTAGATCACAAATTAGAAGTGGTTAGATTTTCATAAGAGGCAAGTAATTAGTTCCATTTTTCTGTAACCAACCCACCGGCCAAATCCCCGAGAACAGACAACAGATGCCTACATATCGGCGGTGCCGAGCACCGTCTTAGATGTCCTTAATTACAAGCTGATCACAAATATGATAAGTGGTTATTAGTTTCCATAAGAAGGCAAGTATATTGTAATTTTTTTTTTTTTTTTTTTTTTTAAACAAACAAATAAATATAAATAATGAGTGTATGAAGGACATCCCATCGAAAAATTTCGCAAGAACGTTGCACCCTAATAAATTAACTTGCACACAAAAGAAAATATTAATGCACAAAGTACTTCCCAAATTTCTCCCAGAATCCCCAAAAACTCTAATTCAACACAACATCCTCAAACGCACTTCTAAATTATCCAAAATATATAGTTAGTTCCATCACAAATTCAAATAACAACAGTTTCTCTTTCTCAAAAGGAAAATTATTAATTATTTATATTCAAAAAATATAGATAAGATGTTTATTAATAATTCTTAAGAAATATGTACACTATTTATTAATATTCAACCTCCATAACCACAATGTATAATAATGGTGCCTAATAAAATCAAACTGCATTAAACAAAAATATTGTTACAAAATGTAAACTACCTATGCTACGACTCCTCTGGTTCTGAAAAATCATCCTCCGCTCTTAACTGTGCCTTATAAAAAATCAATTCGCGCTAAGTGAAAAACCAGTGATGGCTAAAGTTACATCAACAAAATAATAACAAAGAAATACCAAGGGAAGTTTTCGCAAGTGCTTTAAAGTTAGCTCAATTATATATAATACATATCCGGGAGGGAATCACGATTCAAATTTATTCAAACAAACCTTTGAAAAGCAAAATAAGAAGAATTATAAATATAAAATAATCTTACATTTTTTATGCAAAAAAATAAAATAACATATTCATTCCTTAGTTAAGCTCGTACTAATTACAGAATGAAACATAAGCAATTTGATCTGGCCTATGTTGATTCATGGCGGCCCGCCCCCCCCCATCTTGAGATCCGTGAGCTATCTTATGTGCTCACAATCGGTTGGTATGGCCTAAATGAAAATTGTAGACGCCAACTCCCAGCACACAAATAGAGCGCGTCCGCGCACTCTTTAGAAAAGGGCTAATAAGACAGCGCGCCTCCGTGATGCTATAGTACTGGGATGGCCATAGCATTAATACACCCTAGCATATGATCATAGCTTCACATAACAAAATCAATCTCATCATACCATATTTCAATCATGCATAGTAGAGCCCAAATCAAAATCATTCTTTCAAAATTCTTAAGCAAAACACTCCATTACTTAATACCCATCATTTCAAAATTTCTCAACGTACAACTTACAAAAATTACCACATTCTTTTAAAGATATCTATATAATATAGTATAAAAGTACATAAATCAAGAAATTTTCGGCATTTTCATAAACATGACCTTTGCTGTGTTCTTGAGACATAACTTGAGTTATAAGTCTCCAAATTGAGTGAAGTTAAATTCAATAGAAAGATAAGACAAAATGCTACTAATGTTATGAAGGGACCACAGCCTAGATCAATCAGAAAGATAGCAAACAAAAGTTAGGAACACAGACCAACAGATCAGACCTGATTCAGCAGAACCAAGTCCAATGTTTATTGAATTCCTACTTAACCAAACACTCAAATTAAACCAATTCAGATTAACTAACCAATTCAGAACGAGAAAATCCAACGAGCATAGAAACAACTTTAGGAAAGAAAGCCTCAGAACCTAATCATTTGGTCATTATACGTGGTCAAATGGCACTCCAAATTCCCGTTGAGCAAATGGTGCCCACACAAACAGATGTCCAAGTGGGTGTTTCAGCCATAATGTTGCTGGCTAATGTAATTCCAATTGGTAACACAAGCAGAATGGGTTTACTAAGCTAAGAGGTATAGATACAACTTTTATAAGAAACATAAGACAATTATTATTTCCATTTAGTGGGTCAAAATCGAACAAAGCATGTTCGAATATTAAGGTAGACACCATTAAACCATTTTTGGTATTTAATTCATAAGTTGAAGGCTAACAAATTTTCTTGGAATTAGACCAAAAGAAATATTTCTTTGAAAAGGTGAGAAATGTAGAGCTACAACTTTTCATGAAGAAGTCCAGAAACAGATGAGGTAAGTTGTAAGGGGTCAAAATGAATGTCCATATCCCACCTAAGAACAATAAATCCTAATTAAATCAATCAATTTAACCAAAACATACTAAAGTTTCCAAAAATACATTTCAAAAAAACTAAAAATTAAAAAAAAATTAAAAAAGTGGGAAAAGGAGAAAATATAGTGTAGGCCATTTATACCTATTCAACAAGTTTAGAATAAGCCTTGGAAAGCCTATCGGCCTTGCTTCTCTTACGTTTATAAGATGGTTTCTCCAACATCTTCAAAGTATTATTAAATTAAGCATTAAAATCAAAAAATTGACAAAAGAAAATAGATGGAGCATGGATAAATGCAATCAATAATATCTAAACAATGATTTCTCATTATAATTCAAACACAATCTTCAAAACCACAATTTATTGCTTCATGGGAACTCACTTATTCTACATTTAATCACTAATCTCACCTTTACTGAGTTAATTCTTAAAATATAAGTACTATCCATAGTTAATTAGGTAAGCTCTAGTGGTAATGGAAGTAAGAAAATGAAGAAAAAGTGAAAAGAATGAGGAAGAAGATGAAAGGCGTTGGAGAGGAAGAAGAAAAGAAATGAAAGTTAAACTTTAAAGGGTGACAAAGTCCAAATTTGACTTCACTATTAACGCCAAAAATGTGTGGCTAAGATCAAGTCCAATAATGCTCCATCCAGATGGCTTTAAATATTTCCTCAAATAATTCTCTCTAGCTTATTGATTTCACCCAACCAATTTAATTAAGATTAACTCCACTACCATAATCCTCATATTTGTCTGAAAATCCCACACTAGAACTAATATTCCATTTAATAACATAAACCTTCTCAATAATATTCATGAAATTTTTTCTACCGCCTAAATCATGCAAACATGCTCAAAAATAGTAAAATAAATATAAATATGCAATTGTAGTATATTTTTTCCGACTAAAAATAATACAAGTCCAGACCTGATTGATACTATTCCAGACTGGTAAATTCAACTAATTACCGACAACTAACAGAAAATCAGTAGCATAGTAATTTTTCCGGACTAAAATAATACCAAGTCCCAGACCGATGATACTATTCACAGACTGGTAAATCACTATTACCGACACTAACAGAAAATCAGACTGTTACATTTTCCTTTTAATTTACAGTTAAAATCTAATAAACTATTTCATTTATTTCATTAATTTGGCAAGATGCATGCATAACTTATTCTTTTATGCTATCTTCCTGTTTCTCCTTTGGAACTTAAGGCAAGGCTTGAAGTACTATACAAAGGGAAATTAGCTACATTTGAGAAAAGGAATAAAAAAGCTATAATTATGATAAAAATAATTTATTTGGTGAGATAGATTATTAGGGAGACAAGAAGAACATGAATCAAGAAAGTCATATCTAGTGTGGGTTCGGATTTACAGGTCGGGTACCCGTTACCCATTGTTTTAAAGACAAAATATTATGATAAGTGATGGAATTGAACTCATAACCTTGTTTGGCAAGATGCATGCATAACTTATTCTTTTCTCCTATCTTCCTTTGGAACTTAAGGCAAGGCTTGAAGTATTATACAAAGGGAAATTAACTACATTTGATAAAAGGAATAAAATAGTTATAATTATGGTAAAAATAATTTATTTGGTGAGATAGATTATTAGGGAGAAGAGTTCTTGGCACCGAAGAACATGAATTAAGAAAGTCATATTTGGTGTGGGTTCGGGTTTACAGGTCGGGTATCCGTTACCCGTTTGTTTTAAAGACAAAATATTATGATGTGATTAAACAACTTCACCACCTGGCTACTTGTCATCTTTGACATAAGAGATACACAAAAACTGTTTTCGTTAGGTATTTATATTATTATGTTACCTGTTACCTGTCATCTTTGACCATCATTATTTATATTACCTGTTTTTTGTTCTATTTTAATTTTAATATCATTATGTATTGTAATTTTATTATTTTCATGTTGAATTTTAATATTAATTTTTTAAATATATCTTTTGCTGCATTTTCAGGCTTGATTCAGGTTTCAGATGGGTTCGAATTCAATGTATTGAATGAACTTATAATTAAACGGGTATTTAACAGATTCGGGTATAATGGATAATGTCTAAACGGATTCGTGTGTTTTGACAATCGGATTTCGGGTAATTGATTTTTAGCGGGTACCCGCCCGCTGCCATCACTTGTTTCTAATCTCTCAGGTGGCCGAATATTTAAAACTAAAAAAGGTACGAAATTGTATCATTATAAACATGAGAAGTATAGATCACGTCCGTACAGTGGCAAACCGTTATGCATCCCATCTTCAATTATGTTGCCCTCAAAGCTCCAACTCTGGTTCATTTGCTCGTACCATCCATGCCCACATGATAGCTTCTGGGTTCAAGCCACGTGGCCATATCCTGAACCGTTTGATTGATATTTATTGCAAATCAGCAGGACTTGCCTACGCCCGCCATATGTTCGATGAAATTCCTCAGCCGGACATAGTTGCCAGAACAACGTTGATTTCTGCATATTCTGCGACTGGTAGTCTAGAACTTGCGAGGGAAATATTTTTTGGAACTCCGTCAATTATGCGAGACACTGTTTTCTATAACGCCATGATCACTGCCTATTCGCATAATAATGATGGTCATGCTGCTATTGAATTATTTTGTGACATGAGAAGGAATGATTTCAAACCTGATAATTTTACTTTTACCAGTGTTCTTGGTGCTTTGGCGCTTGTGGCTGAAAACGATAGGCAGTGCCAGCAGCTGCATTGTGAAGTGGTGAAGTCAGGAACAGTGTTTGTTACTTCAGTGTTGAATGCATTAATATCTGCTTATGTTAAGTGTGCATCCTCACCATCAGTCTTATCATCGTCCTTGATGGGTGCAGCTAGAAGATTGTTTGATGAGATGCCCGAGAGAGATGAGTTGTCATGGACAACTATTATTACTGGGTATCTGAAGACTGATGATCTTGATGGAGCCAGAGAGTTTTTTGATGGAATGAGTGAAAAGTTAGCGGTGGCATGGAATGCAATGATTTCAGGTTACATGCATCGTGGGCTATATCAAGAAGCATTGGAGATGTTTAGGAAGATGTATCTGTCAGGAATGCGGTTGGATGAGTTTACTTACACAAGCATTATTACTGTTTGCGCCAATGCTGGTTTCTTTCAGCTTGGTAAGCAGGTGCATGCTTACATTTTAAAAACTGAAGCCAAGCCTTCAGTAAACTTTTCATTGCCTGTGAATAATGCATTGGTTACGTTATACTGGAGATGTGGTACTGTTGATAGAGCTCGAGTGGTATTTAATAAAATGCCAGTGCGGGACCTTGTATCATGGAATGCAATTTTATCTGGATATGTGAACACTGGACGTTTGAATGAAGCAAAATCCTTTTTTGAGGAGATGCCTGAGAAAACCGTACTGACATGGACTGTAATGATATCAGGGTTAGCACAAAATGGATTTGGGGAAGAGGGTTTGAAGCTGTTCAACCAGATGAAATTAATGGGTTTCAAACCATGTGACTATGCATTTGCAGGAGCAATTACTTCTTGTTCTGTGCTTGGATCACTGGAGCATGGACGCCAGCTCCATGCTCAACTACTCCGTTTAGGATTTGATTCAAGTCTTTCTGCAGGAAACTCTCTGATAACTATGTATGCAAGATGTGGTGTTGTTGAAGCTGCACGTTCTATATTCCTTACTATGCCTTATGTTGATTCAGTATCTTGGAATGCCATGATTGCTGCTTTGGGGCATCATGGACATGGTGTTGAAGCAATTGAACTTTTTGAACAGATGGTGTTGGAAGGCATATTGCCTGATCGGATAACCTTTCTCACAGTTCTGTCTGCCTGTAGCCATGCAGGTTTAATTAGAGAAGGGCATCATTATTTCAACTCAATGTATGCTGTTTACAATATAACCCCAGGTGAAGATCATTATGCCCGTGTTATTGATTTGTTATGCAGAGCTGGGAAGTTTTCAGAAGCAAAGGCTGTGATGGAATCAATGCCTTCTGAGCCTGGTGCTCCAGTTTGGGAGGCGCTTCTTGCTGGGTGTCGGATTCATGGGAACATGGATATGGGCATTAAAGCAGCAGAGCGACTCTTTGAGCTGAAGCCCCAACATGATGGAACCTATATACAGTTGTCAAACATGTATGCAGTAGCAGGCCGATGGGATGATGTGGCCGAAGTGCGGAAGTTAATGAGGGACCGAGGGGTGAAGAAGGAGCCTGGATGCAGTTGGATTGAGGTTGAAAGCATGGTCCATGTATTCTTGGTTGATGATGCTGTGCACCCTGAGGTGAATGCTGTGCACAAGTATCTTGATGAGCTGTCCAGGGAAATGAGAAAATTGGGATATGTCCCTGACACAAAGTTTGTGTTGCGCGATATGGAGTTTGACCAAAAAGAATATGTCTTGTCTACTCACAGTGAGAAGCTTGCAGTTGCATTTGGACTTATGAGGCTTCCCCGTGGAGCCACTGTCAGGGTTTTCAAGAACCTTAGAATCTGTGGTGATTGCCACAATGCATTCAAATACATGTCAAAAGTTGTTAGCAGGGAAATTGTTGTGAGAGATGGAAAGAGGTTTCATCACTTCCGGGATGGTAAATGCTCTTGTGGTGATTATTGGTAGGCAATTTCTGATGAAATCCGAGACAGTCAATGTTCAAGTCAGAAATTTGTCTGACTTTTTGATTGATTTTCAAAGTATAGCCTTGCCTTCAACTATATTTCAAAAGTTGCAGGAAGGAAAATTTTGTAAGGGAGAAAGAGGTTTCATCACTTAAGATGTGGTGAATTGAGTGATTACTGTGTTAGGATTCAATAGTTGCGGAGTTAGCTCATATAAGTAGGGTTGAAATCTCAAAGAGTTAGGGTTGAAATTAGAAATATGTTTGAGTTTTGGCGGAATTCTGCCATAGCCTTTCCAGTTGCCACCAGGATTGCAACTTCTGATGTAAATAATTCTCTTCAGAGGATTATTAACCAAAGTTTTTTCCCCCATTCTATTTATTTACCCTATTTCCCTTCAACAGAAGAAAAAGTAGAAGATTAGAAGTTCAAGAACTTCCTTTCCGATCTCCAATGGGATGATTGATTTTTCATTTAAGTGGTAGCTCCGGCATTTGTTATTCTCACTTTCATCTATGGTCCAAATTGCTCCGTATGAAAGGCTTTTTCTCAAGACATCACTTCTTACCCAAGCTTCTTCTCAGGTAAATGACATCAGATCCACCCACTGCAATGATTCTATATTTTGTATCCTTGTGTTTCTGGAGTAAGAAGGCTCTATGTCAATGCAGAAAGGATAGAACTGTCAGAACCTGGGATTCAGGTTGTTCCCCTGCTGCTGCATCACTCCAATTGTCAAATATTGTTTTTGCAACACATTTTGAGGATTTTAAGAAACATGAAATTGCAAAAAGCTTTTAGAAAGAAAACTTTGAAACAGCAATTTCTCAAGTCTCTTCTGGCACAGATATTTTTTGTGGATTCGTGCTTGATTAAGCACTTATGCATAACTAGAGGACTGTGGTTCAAGTTGAAGGATTATGATGCTTTCTAATTAAGCTGAAAATAGGAGTACACATCTGTCGAAGGAAACTATTGGATTGTTGGATTTTTAACTATATAGTGCTTCTGGTTTGTCGTCATATTTCCAGTTACCAAGCATGATTGCTGATGTATAAATGCGACGGCCTAAGAGCATCATTGCAAGGCACTTACACAGATTCTTTAAATTGATAAGCCAGTATACTAGCTGATACATTGACCAAGAAGCATTCTGAATAGCACAGTTTAATTATTTATTTAATTCCACTATAGATCACAGAAATTGGTACTCAATTTCTTTGGTCCTTGCAGTCTGCAGAGCCCATGCTGATCACAGGTGATATTTCCTGATAACTGTAATCACCAAAAGCTTTTTCTCTACTTTCATTATTTATTTTCTGTATCGTATTATGAATAAAATGATTTTGCTCGTGTATGTGTATCCTGCACAAAATCTGTTTAAATTAGAAACTTCATGACATAACTTCATATGTAGGTATCAAAATTTTCATTTATTCACTTCCTATTCCTTTGCTTCTAGTTTCAAGATGTTAGTCTGATGTGATTTTATGACATTTTTGCTAAGTTCTGTATTTGGTGATTCCATTCCAATGAAATTCGTTTGACAATATAAATAGATGTCAACTCCAGGTCCAGTTACATAAATGTCTTATCATTATGCAGAATGGTTCTTATGTTGAACTCCATATTAACCAAAGTTTTTACGCCATTCTATTTATTTACCCTATTTCCCTTCAACAGAAGAAGAAGTAGAAGATTAGAAGCTCAAGAACTCCCTGTCCCATCTCCAATGGGATGATTGATTTTTGATTTAAGTGGTAGCTCTGGCATTTGTTATTCTCACTTCATCTATGGTTGAAATTCCTCCTTATTGGATTGTACGATTTGCAAATATAACATCGCTTCTGGTTTGTCGTTATATTTCCAGTTACCAAGCATGATTGCTGATGTATAAATGCGATGGCCTAAGAGCATAATTACAAGGTATTTACACAGATTCTTTATTTAAAACCAGTATACTAGCTGATACATTGACCAAGAAGCATTCTGAATGGCACAGTTTTATTATATATTTAATTCCACTCAAGATTACAGAAATTGGTACTCAATTTCTTTGGTCCTTACAGTCTGCAGAGCCCATGCTGATCACAGAAGGTATTACCTGATAACTGTAATCACCAAAAGCTTTTTCTCTACATTCATTATTTATATTCTGTATCGTATTATGAATAAAATGATTTTGCTCGTGTGTGTGTATCCTGCACAAAATCTGTTTAAATTAGAAAACTTCATGACATAACTTCATATGTAGGTGTCAAAATTTTCATTTATTCACTTCCTATTTCTTTGCTTCTAGTTTCAAGATGCTAGTCTGATGTGATTTTATGACATTTTGGCTAAGTTCTGTATTTGATTGATTCCATTCCTAATGAATTCGTTTGACAACATAAATAGATGTCAACTACAGGTCCAGTTACATAAATGTCTTATCATTATGCAGTATGGTTCTTCTGTTGAATCTCCATAGTAAATTAGTAATCATAATGAATTGAAGTGTAAAACATGATTCCCATTGCACCTAGGGGTGAGCATCCAGTTCAATTTATTCAGTCAATTTGACCAATTTGATTCGGTAAATAAATAATATTCGGTTAGAAGTTAAATGAAACTGCACAAATTGACGTAGATTTCAGTCTTACTCTTACACACTACCAAAATGCAAGACTTAGCTCCCTCTCCCTATTTCTCACTTCTTTTTTTATTCATCTGTCCATGCAGTAAAATTGTTTTATTTACCCTTCTTTTTTTTTTTCTTTTAACACAGGAGGAATCTGTAAATTTAAGGTAATTTGCAAAATTTCGGTTAAGTAATAACAAGGAATAGATTTCGATTAGTTTAGTTAATTAGTAAATTTAGTTAAAGTCGGTCAGTTAATTAGGCAAAAAAGGTCATTAAATTCAATTAAATGATTGATTCAGTTCAATTGGGTTAAGTCAAAAAAAATTTCAGAGTACTTAAGTTCGAATAAAAATGTTACTCAAATTGGCCAAATTGATTGAATGCTCCTTGCAACTTGCACCACTTTTATCAAAGGAGTAAACTGTAATATTATATATATACTAAAATGAAAACCAAAATCATTGTTCATGAAACAGTGATTTGACAATTTAACCATTTTCCTTTTATGTTATTCCTATTTTGTCTTATCCTGTATTTTCACGATCTTCCATCAACTGACTTCTACACCGACTTCGATTTTTTGAAATACAATGACTTCACTTCCATTTTATGTATCTTCCAGGTGATTTTCTTTTTTGTTTGCCTTTACCCTCCTTGCATCTGCATTCTCCATTTTCGTTTCTCTCTGAAAACTTCTCTCTTTGCAAATCACAGTTTCAGTTCCGGAAGGGTGAAAAGGGAGAATTTTGATTCTAAGTTACTATTCGAGTTAATAGAATCTTTCATTGTTTATATTTAATGTTCTTTTTGCTGCATGTACTTGAGATGCTTGATATGCATTGATTCTGAGTTTAACTTGGATATTGGTTAAAATTTTCATTTTTAGGATTTTGATTCAATCTCTCTTCCTAATTGATTGAAACTCTCAACAGGTTTACCAATCAGTTATTGTTATTTTGCAATGTCGCTTTCAGCTATGTCTGCTAAGGTATGCTATATCTTGCTTAAAGTTGCTTATTGTGAATCAAATTGAATTTGTTTCAGCTAGATTCATGTTATTTGATTGAATACGTGCTATTGTTTGCTGTTATTAACCTTATAGAGGTTCTGTATAGGCTTAGTTTGTGGAAATGAATGAAAAAGAATGTCACAACAAAACCTCCGGTTCCATTTTTGTATTTTTCTTTGGGCTGATAAATTGTTAGCAGTTACCCATGGTCAAGAATAGAGTTTATGATAGAGTTTTTAACTACCAACAGACACTTGGATCAGTCAAAGTGTACTGCATCCTTAAGCAAACTTAAACAATGTGAAATGAAATGTTTTATGAGGAACTAGACTTTCAGGTAACTGAACAAAGGGAAAGTTATAAGTAACTCAATTCGCCTTAACAAATCCGGATCCACAAACATGGTTCTGAGATTGTTAACCTGTTCTAATAAAACTACTAATTAATGTAAAGGTTTAATTTGATTATCTCATTAACAAACTAATAAATCCCACAGATTGAACAAATTAATATATATGTATATAAAAGATAAAACTGGAATTTAATTACCTGCTGCAAGCCCAAAGGAGAGAATGTGAATAAAAAAATTCTGGAGATAAAAGTGCATCATGATCCTTCTCTCCTGCAACATTGTGATCTCCTTGAGCATGCCTGACCTGGACAAAGAATTAATTAAAAAATTAATTGGAAATGCCAGATGGTTAAAAAGATTAAAAATGAACCTTTTGTGCCTGGTTGGCATTGAATTTCTGTTCAAGCTTCTGTAAATAGAGGAAAAAAATGGTGGAATATAAGGAAAAAGATATCATAGACTAACACATACAGTAGCTAGAAAAATGCAGAAATACTCTTCTTTTTTTTTTTTTTTTTTTTTCTTATCTGTAAATAGAGGACAAAAATGGTGGAAATATAAGGAAAAAGATATCATAGACTAACACATACAGTAGCTAAGAAAAAATGCAGAAATACTCTTCTTTTTTTTTTTTTTTTTTTTTTTTTTTTTTTTTTTTTTTTTTTTTTTTGAGGAAAAACATGAATATAGTTCTGCAGCTTGCCTCCTCCTTGCAGCTCTTTCTTCAGTTCTGAAGCTAAAAGGTGTAGTGGAAAATTTTGGGGACTGAGATTTATTTTTGCAAGCGCTCATAAACTTTGAGCAACTGACATACAAAACGAAACACTATTAAAAATAACTCAAAATTCCTTCTAAAAAATTCTCACATGCGTCTTGGAGTGATCTATATGTTTTGCAGTATACGTAAGTCAGAAATTAGCTAATTAGACAATTTGCAGCCAATAATTATATATGCTTTGTAAATGTCAAGTATATTACTCTGTTGGCAGGAAATGCCATCTCGAGCGAATTGTTTTGCTTCCAGATGCCAAGGGGGTAAAGAGGTGTTCTTGCCTTGAAATTTTAAATCTCATAGAAGATAAAGACATAAAAAAATTGGAATTTCTTGCCTTCTTTGTCAAATTTGATAGCATTCATACCTTCTATCTTCTGAGTGAGGAGTGGCTAGGGTGTGCTTAGGTTCTCAAAGACATTTTTTTAAGAAAAACAAGAGTGCTTGGTGGTTGATTATTATTACAAGATAAATAGTATAATTTAAAGTTTATTTTGAAGCTAAAGCTTTGCCTTTTGCCCCTGGACAAGTTTTATTTATTTTTTCTCAATGCTAAGTAAATTATGGGCTTTTAGTGAGTTTTGTTCCTTTCTAGGAGGTAGATGGACTGGAGCAATGTAATAAATATGCCTCTTGAAATAGTTCACTCAGGTTTTTTTTTTTATCCTTTTCTCTGTTTTACTACATAATTGTCTGTGGCATAAACTCTTCTCAGATCATATTATGAACCATTTAGTTTTTTCATCCAATTCTGTTAAAATATTGGAGATGGTTTTTCATTGCACAAATCTAACTGCATAATATTTGGATTTTTTTTTTTTTTTTTTTTTTTTTTTTTTTTTTTTGCAAGGCACAATATTTAGCTTTTTGAAGAGAATGGGGAATTTAACAGAGAAGTTGAATCGGAATAAATCGTTTGTCTTTGAAGAGAAAACAGTGACGTTTCTTTTTGTGTGGGTGATTAGGGATGAAGAAATCGCCATTGCCAATGCAGAATATATATAACTGGAAAAGAAGCATTGGTGAAGCTATTGAGATGGTGTTTGGTGAATCTATTGAGATGGTGTTTATTGCTTCTTTAATTTATAAGTGACACATGACTCGTATTGTTCATGCATTGGAATACAAACACAGAATATTTTGACAATCACAGCTTCTCCTAAGTGAGTCTGGTTATTCGCACAAAATATTTTGACAATCACAGCTTCTCCTAAGTGAGTCTGGTTATTCATTCTATACAAGACACAAGTTTTTTTTTTTTGTCATTTATACTGGTCGTACAATCCTTTTACATCATTCAAGGCAAGTAATAGTTTCATTTGCTGGCCAAAAAAAAAAAAAAAAAAAAAAAAAAAAAAAAAAAAAAAGAGCGCTGAAAAAAAAAAAAAAAAAAAAAAAAGAGCGCTGACAATTCGTCATTGTTCACCTTACCCATGTAGCAATCCTTCTCCAACAGCAGAGTACCAATTTTACATTTTATTCATCATTCTTTTAACAGTTTTACTCATCATTTAACTTAATTATAAACTAAAAATAAAAGAAGAAAAAAGATTGCGCTTGTTATGTCCTGTAAACTGGCTTGAGAATTTAAGCTAATCATTTTTATGGTTTTAATTGGCAATAATTAAAATTCATTTTAATATATGCATATGCGTGAATATCACCTGCATCTACAATTGGTTAAATTCATTTTCTTACTATGGATAAAAGACCTGCAAAAGGATAAATGGCTGCTTCTACTTTATATGAACCAGAAAGTCTTATAATAAACATTCAAATGACACTACCAAGATGGAATTTCAGTTAAACAAGATGTAGTATACATTCAAAAATCTTATGGAATACTGAAATCCCTCAAGGGTTCATCCGTCGGGATGCAAACAAAATTCAACACAATTCCATCAGCTATCCTAATGCACAACTCAGGTCTATCAGATACCTCAAGCAAAAATTTTACCTGCCACAAAGAATAAAAACAAAAATCAGCTCTCCTAACTCCGTCAGTAAACTAGCCTTAAACTTGCAAAACCACATTGCATCTATTACGAAGAATGAAGCATGATGGCAAATGTCAACAGTTGCTAACTAAAATGCATATAAGGACTATGGAGAGAGAGAGAGAGAGAGAGAGAAACAGATAGACAAGAGAAGTGCAATATGGTAAAGATCTGAATCATAATACATCAATTGAAGATACAGCTTTCAAAAATCCTTTGGTCTTAGAGATTATGCAAATGACAGTGCACAATTTGTTATGCTCATTAGGAAACATCAAGCTTTACAAAATGGTAAAAAAGAAAATTAAAAAATCAAGAATACATATTGAATTCAACCAAACCTTAAGAGGTTGAAGAATCTGTTACTTCAATGGTGGAATTTGAACTGGCAGCATTATCAGCAGAAGGCGGCACATAAATTCGTGCTTTTTTCAGTATTTCAGCAACGACCCAATGCTTTCGTTTGCTCAATGGTCTAGAAGGATCCAATCTAACCTGAAACCATGTAGAATTTTCCCACAAAATAAAAATTACATGACAGCCATTATCCATATGCAGCAAAAACTCTTACTCTTGTGAATGACACTAAATATACATGTTTTTACGTTTAGTTAATTCTACCACAGATTATACAAATGAAAGAAAAAAGGAAAGAAAGAAGAGAGAAAAAGGGAAAGAAAGAAGAGAGAAAAAGGGAGCTCAAAGAACAAACTAGAACTATTAGCATTTAGCATAATTGATCAAATTTGTTAATCACTAGGATAAGATTTCAAGAGAATTTCCACTAAGAATCTAGTGACTAATATATACTAGGTGGTTCATTGTAAATAGCAATTATAAGATGTATTAGGAGTGTAATTGAATGATAACTGATTCTTATATTTTTCCACAAAGATCTCTCTTTTTATTTCTCTCATTCCTAATTCTGACTTTTCTCTTCATTTTCCCACACTTTCCCTCTTTTTCTCATCTCCCAAGCACTCTTGTTAGGATAGGTCCTAACAAGGGCCATAACAAACAGATTTCCGTTATACTGCAAAATTACTTTGAAAAAACAATTACAACTCTAGATTCTCAAAAATATATACCAAATCAGACTAGCTAGATTCTCAAAAAAAAAAAAAATATATACCAAATCAGACTTTAAGTGCCTCTGCACTTACAAATAAACCAAATTACAACTCTAGCACTTCCAAAAATATATTACCAAATCAGATCTATGCATACAGTAAACAAAAAATAACAAAAATATATACCAAATCAGACTAGTGCCTATGCATTTACAGTAAACAAAAATAAACAATACGGCAATCATATGACCAAATATAAAATCATTCAAAATTCTAAAATTTATGTTTCAATAAAGTACCAAATTCCAGGTCACAGTTTCATTTCAATTCAATAGAGAGAGATGGTTACTCGATCGCCGATGTTACATTGATTTTGCTCGTCGTGAGCCATGAATTTTGAGGTGCGCTTGACGTAACGATTATAAAGCTTGTTGTGGAAGAGCCTATCAACGGCCACTACCACCGACTTCTGCATCTTGTTCGACACTACCATCCCCACCACCGACTTCATCTTCTTCAATCTTCAATTTTAATAAAACCCTAAAACCCTTAATATATGCTCTCTAATTTAAGCCGTTTGCCATTTTTTTCTGAACCTTTTGAGTTTTATTTATTTCTCTCACCTTTATATAATGTCATGTGGGCTCCGACCCGAGTAGTTCATTAGTTGTAGCATTATCAGTAATGGGTTGGATTAGTCTTCTAATTATGGGTCCCTTCAAATGTCCCAACTCCCATCCAGAGAAGAAAACGAGAAGTCCAATAAGACACGAGAAGGCCCAAATTAAAACCCAAGTAGCAAGCTTCCAACAAAAAAGAACCAAATAAAATAAAAAAAATATGAAAAGAAATGGAAAAGAGTCATCGCGGATAAAAAGTAATGGCTCAAAACATAAAATTTAAAATGAACACTAATCCCTTTATTTATAACAAATTCATTTAAAGATCTATATTTTTGTGTTTAGAATGAAAAAAAGTATAAATTTCAATTCTAAAAATTCAATTCCATAGAATTGGATATGACTACTCCAAATTCCACAAAAATAGGTTGAATTTCCAAATGAATTTCACAAATTAAGCAATCCAACTTTTAATGATAAACTACCATTCTCTATTTACAAAATCATTTTTTCCTTTTTATAATTATTCAAATTATTTATTTTATCAAACTTGACTAAAATCTTTTAAAAATTTTATTTTTTTTTAGAAACTTATTATTGTGTTTTTATTTTAATATTTTTCATCTTTTATTTTAAATTTTTTTTTACTACCAATGAGAGAGATTCAAGTTAAATATCTATTTTCTATTTATCACCAAATTAAATGCAATAATTTATTAATATTATTTTTATTTTGTACATTTATTTTAATAAAAATATAAAAAATTATATAGTATAATATAAATATAATTGATATACCATTTCAAAGATATTTTAAGAAACAAAAACAAATGAATTTTCAATTATAAATTTATTCTGAACATAATTATGTGGAATTTAATAATCATATCAAATATGAATAATTCATTCACAAATGAATTCTACTAGAATTCATCTACAAATAAATTACATATTTTAAATTCATTTATACCAAAGGTAGTATAAAAGAGAGAGAGAGAGAGAGAAAACCAGGGTTCAAAGGAATATAAAATTTAAGAGCCACCAAGTATAGTCCTCATACATTAGGGTAAACAAAGCATTTTACATTGTTTTAAGGCCTAATGACAAAAAAAAGTTTGAATTTTAATCTTTTTTTCAATTTTGGCCAGTTCTTTTAGTTTTATCAATCAATATAACGTATTTAGTTTTTTTTATCAATTCTAACGTATGTTTGTCTTCCGTTAATTTTATACTAATATCGCAATTATCTCTCAAAACTGGGCCCTACAACATCAAATGTGAGCGCCAAGTCATGTATCCACGTATACTAAAAGAAAAAACATGAACTTCAACGTTTTTATTAAATTTGGCCAATTCTTTTAATTTTATCAATCAATATCGCGTACTAATTAATCTCTATCAAATGATGTTGTTATATTGATATTTATTTAATTAAATAGTTTATTAATAAATACATAAAATAGTTTATTAATAAATACATATCTTAACGTCCAACATTAATAACTGATCTTTTTTTTTAAAAAAAAAAAAAACTACTATATTGATGTAAAATAATAGTACTACGGTTCCTAATTAAATTTTCTAGTTAGTTTTGAGCATTATTACAAGGACGGATTTGGTGCAATAAGTAAAATTATACCACTTCTAATCTAAAGGTTTTGTATTTAAGTAATTAAAATTGTAACAGCGAGAAAAAACATTATATACATCAAGTTTCTCATATACCACTAATGTGGAACAATCCGTGTACAATTCCTTTTGAAGTGCTATTAGATTTATAATTCAATTATTTTAATTTTATTAACATATATAGAAAAATATACTACCTCTGTTTCATAATACTTGTCACCATTTGGAATTTCACAATTTCACATTTTTTAAGAAAACTATTAAATTTGTCTAAGTTACAATCAATTATTGAGTAAATTGACTATATTATCTTTAATTTAATATTAATTTCGTAAGAACCATTAAATTGAAGTAATAATTATTAGTCATACAGAAACGGTAAACATGGAAAAAAAATAATTTATTACTCATTGAAACCACAAATGTGACAAATGCTTTGAAACAAACTATTTTCTCAAATGTGAGAAGTAGTATGGATTGGAGGTAGGACTGTGCCATTCGCATATAATTATGTTACATTGTAAAATTCAAATGTTACTTTTTTTCATTAAGTGACTATGAAATATCAAAAATATTATTAAAAATAATTGTTATAAGAGTTGATAGGTTCATATAATTATGTTACATTGTAAAATTCAAATGTTACTTTTTTTCATTAAGTGACTATGAAATATCAAAAATATTATTAAAAATAATTGTTATAGAGTTGAATGGTTTGTTCAAAACATTATTATTATAACAAAATCATTTGATAGAGACTAATTAGGACACGGTATTAATTGATAGAATTAAAAGAACCGACCAAGTTTGATAAAAATGTTAAAGTTTAAGGCTGTTTTTTTTTTTAAAATATACGTGAATATATGACTTAGCGCTGAAATTGGATGTTGTAGGGTCCACTTTTGAGAGATAATTGCCACATTAGCATGAAATTGATAAATAACAAATGGAGGTTAAAATTGATATAGAAAACTAAGTACACAGTATTGATTGATAAAATTAAAGAACTAGTTATAATTGATAAAAAGATCAAAGTTCAAGCTTTTTTGTTATTAGGGCTTGTATTAATGTTTGTGAATATTAGGGACCTTGAATCACAATAGACAAATAAATAGAAATTAATATGAATGAGGTAGCTCAGTAGCAACGAGTCAGAGCTAAATTCGAGATGTTAATGAACAAGACGTACTTCTATTTATCGATAATATCTTCTGTTTCGTCCAAGCAGGATCCGAAATATCCGCCGTCACGTAAACTCCCTCCGAATTAGCCCATTTGCCTCTGAGAGCAAATAGATATAAACATGAAAACAAGAATTCTACCAATAGATGTTCTAATTGATAGGCTCCTAATATTTGCCAAGTCAAAACTCCACTGAGATTCAATGTGTATTGCATTGCATAATTATGAAATGTTTCATTAAAAGTAAGTTATATACCACTTTTTTTGGTACATAGAATCAGTAGCTAGAAGACTATTTTACATTAACGGCAATTTACGCCAATTGCACACACCATACACATATGAATAGACATCACTATATTTATATTAAAGTCAAAATTTATAATATTACTGAAAATGGAGCTAGCGAGGCTATAGGTATATAGCATTAAAAATTATCTTTTACTAGTTTCATTTAATAATCTTTCATATTCTGCTTCTTCAAACTCTAAGAATAGCTCTAGGAATAATAGTATAAACCTTACATTATTGAGCATCATAAAGAATTGAAATAGTGTCTTAGATTAATAAAAATCACTAGGATGTATTTATCTGAATTTGATTTATGGGTTATCCATTAGCCAAATTAATGAAAAATAAATTTTTTCCCAGATTAATTAAAAGCATATAAACATATAATTTTTTCCCAGATTAATTAAAAGCAGAAAATAGACTGTGGGGATCCACCTCTCTACCGGTAGACAGGTCCTAACCAATTAGTTAACCATCGAATCAATGAAGAACAGCTACAGAATAAAGCCTAAGAAGATCTATCAATGGTTATTGTCTTGGTCCAACCACCCATCTGTCTCATATAAAAACTCATCTTGTCAACTTCAAATAACAAAATTCCAGTGCAGTGGACGCGAAGAAACAAACACTCCAATCATCATTTTTTTTGTTAACATCAATCCTTTAACTAAAGCATTTCATTGTTAAAATCTGTGTTCTATAAATATATATAATATATATATCTCTTCTTCGTCCATCTCCATTTGTAGCATAAGCATTCATCAATCATGGAAGAACAAAGATTGGTAGTAATGGGAAGAGCAGAGATAGATACAAGAGCACCATTTCGATCTGTTAAAGAAGCTGTTTTGTTGTTTGGAGAAAGAGTTTTAGTTGGGGAAATCTATGCCACCAAGCTTAAAGAGGTGTTCTTAATTATCCTTTTCTATATTTTTTTTTTCTTTATACATTTTTGCAATGCTTAAACAGGTATTCTATATGTAAATGCACATTTGTCATTTTCCAGATGCGAGGTGGAGCAAGTGAAAGTGGGGAGTCTCAATCCAAAATGGCAGCCATAACTGCTGAGCTTGAGGAAACAAAACTGAGCCTCCAAAAAGCAAGAGAAGAAGCTGAGTTAATGGGGACTTACATAATATCTCTTAGAGAAGAACTAGAACAAACCAAGAGAGAGCTAAATTGGCTAAAAGCAAAAGAAAGAGAAATGTTTAAGAAACGAGCAATTCTTGATGATCCTGAAATTGAAGACCTCAAATTCATTGAAAATGCAACTAAAGTGGAGATGATGATGAAGAAGAAGAATAGCCAAAGTCTTGATTTTGATGATGATGAAGAAGAAGAAGAAGAAGGAGGAGGAGGTCTTGGAAAGAAAAGATTTGTGAAATTTGCAAGCCCTCCTTCATTGGCTAAGATCATCGTTAGCAAAGAGGAAATGCTTAAGAGATCTCCTTCAACTAAAAAGACATTGAAGATAAAAAGGTCATTAGTCCCCGTTTTAGGATGGCTATTTTCAAAAAAGAAGGGAATCAATCAAGAGGTTCATTCTCCTACAGTGAATTGAATGCTTTTCTTCCCTTTACATCGACATATACTCTCTCCCTCCCATTTTATTTGCATGATTTGACAAAACACGCATATTAAAATTTAGTCAATAAAAGTTATTTTGCCCTTCTTTACTCTAAATAAATACTAAAAGTCATTCCTTTAATGAACAATTATAAAGATTATTATAAAAAAAATAATTACTTACATATCTAAATTTAGAAAAGTTACAAAAATTTTGTGACATATAAAAAATAAATAACAAGCAAACAAAATGGGACGGACAGAGTAGAATAAGTATATAGTCATTGGAGAACAAATAAAGATGAGCTTGGCCCAAGAAGAGGCATCTTTTGTGACACTTTATGTTGGGCCTTGTGAGACTTTTAAGCCCAACGTTTCATATTTCCATGTAAAGCTAAATGTATGTTACACTCTTCTTTAGTTGCTCTAAAATTTTCCAATCGTTCATTTTCCCTCACAAAAGAAAGGAGAAAAAAATTATCCTTTTACATCTTTTGCTCTTTCACTAATAATTGAGAGTATATATTTTAATAATGATAATTGATGCAAATAAAAATATAAGTCTCTTTGCAGTGAAAAAAAAAAAATATAAACAATAATAAAGAGTGCCAATTTTTTGAAATGATAATTAATTATTAATTAATGGGTGTTTACTTACCTTCTAACTCAAGTTTTTTTTTTTTTTGGGTACGATTCACCTCTTTTCTTTTTATTTTTGAAATATTTTTATTTTATTTATTTATTTATTATGGGTGGGTAAGTCAGCTGAATTGAATAGTGATGTTATGAAGAATGATTGAGTATTTAAATTACAAATACTTAGCCATGCACATGTAACCATGTGAACCCTATATTACCCAAGACAATAAATTTTTGCTTAGCCATCAACCGATGGCTTTGAATTACAAATGTTCTTTAGCTTGTTGCATTGGTTCGGTCACTACCGTTACCATTCAAAATTAAATTATTTTTATTTTTTCAATTAATAAAATTAAAATCCTTAATAATATTTTTGGCTATCCACAACTTTAGTTAGGGTGTTTTCCATTCCAATATTTATATCTACTAGTATTTTTTTTATGACATGAGTTGCACGTTGACTATGCTCGCTATATACTCTTTTTTGTACTATTTTTGACTTTTTTATCCATATAATATTAAGATATAAGTTTTTATTTATATTAAAATAAATACAATTAATTAATTTGTATTAGATTTTGTCGTACAAAGTATTTGTAATAATACTACTTTTTATGTACATAATTTTATTTTTATATAATAAAGTGGTTTGAAAATAAAGTTCAACCCAATTTCTAAACCTAATCTTTTCAGTTTTTAATTTATAATTGCAGATTCTTAAAACCTTAATAGGTGCCCAAAAAAAAAAATAAGTCATCACTCAATCTCCAACCCACTGCTCTCAATCCCAAATCAATGTTTATATACAACTATAATGAAAAATAATGAAAAATTATTTTTTATTGCTAGTTAAGAGAAAATAAATGAGAAAATATTCTGAATTGATAGTGGTAATCACTTTGGCTATAGTGGCAATATTACTTACTCATTGCATTGAAAAATGGAATATATGCACATACTTATAAAATTCTTGAACCCAAAAAGTAACCCAAAATAAAAATATATAATTCTAATTATTTTCAATTTCGTAAATGATATTTTCTTTCAAGTCAAACAGATTTAGAATATAGAAGAAAAAATATTAAGAAAATTAAAATGCTTAATAATCAAGAGACCATCTATTTATTGCAAGCGAGATATTAGATCTCTTACTAAATTAAAGTGATAGTAATCACAAATTAATTCAATAAAAAAGATAAAATAAAAAATAAATTTTTTTATTGAGAAATAAAACTCTTTTAAAAATTCAACATATAACAAGAAACAAATTATATTTAAAAAATATCAATTTAAATTTAAAAATCAACTTTTCTTCAATTGGAAAGGCTATAATTTAACGAAATTTGATGTTGACAAAAAATCAATCAATAAATAGAAATTACAAAACAAATCGTGTTAAAATTCAATATTGATCATTTAATGAGTTTATTAAAGTATTTTGTTTGTCTGTTATGCTAAGTTGCAAATTTAAAATAAATAGATAAGTTAATTGATTAATAAAAAAATATATTATCATATCCAAATAAACTATGAATTCGCCCTACAATCATACAAAACAAGAAAAAAGTATTTCTCCCCCAAATAAAATATGATTTGTATTCTATTTGAAAATTTGTTTTTTAAAAAATATATACAATCAATTTATACAAACATAAATAAAAAATTAAAAAATAATATACTTTTTTTCTTTTTTTTATCTTTCTCTTAAATAAAATATTTTAAATTATAGTCAAAATAAAATAAAAAAAGTAAAATATAAAAATTTTCAAATGTATCGTTATCATATATTTATTAAAAAATAAATTTAAAAAAAAAGATAAAATTTTAAAATTTTAAAATTTAATATTAAATAAAAAAAGTAAAAATAAAAATTTTCAAATGTATCGTTATCATAATATTTATCTAAAAAATAAATTTTAAAAAAAAGGATAAATTTTTAAAAATTTTTAAAAATTTAAAATTTAATATTTATAAAAGAAATATTTTATCTTCTCCAAATAAATCTTAATTTTCCATAAAATATATATATTTTATCTCTCTTCTAAATAAAATATTATTTATATGCTTTCTAAAAATTTATTTTAAAAAATATATATACAATCACATCGTATAAACATAAAAAAATATATACGTTTTCTTTTTCCATATGAGCATAAAAAAGAATATGCTTTTTTATCTCTCTTTTAAATAAAATATTATTTATATTCTATTTGCAAATTAAAAATATAAATAATCACATCATACAAACATAAAGAAAAAAAATTTACATTTTTCTTTTTATCTCTTTCTTTAACAAAATATTTTAAATTATAATCAAAATAAAATTAATATTTAAAAAATAAAATATAAAAATTTTCAATGTCTCATTATCATATATTTTTATTAAAAAATAAATTTAAAAAAGATAGATAAAAATTAAAATTTTGAAATTCTTAATTATCTATATGTATTTATTTTAAAAAAATTAAATTTTTATTAACATTATATTTCAACATATGTATTTATTTAAAAAATAATTTTTATAAATTATATTCAATTAAATAATAAAATATAATTTTCTAATTGACTATTACTGGAGTTATTTTAGAATATTTTAAATTTCATTAAGTTTGCTATCGGAAATCCTTATTTCGACATCTATATATATAATAATCCTAAAGAAAAAAAAAAATTTTTGAAGCTGATTTGGCGCTCTATCTTTTGAGTATTTCTATTTTTCTATTTTTCCAAATTTTTGAGATTTTTTATTTTATTTATTGTGGTTTTTCTTTGTTATTACAATTTAATTGGACACAAAAATATTTTTTAAATTTAAAAATTAATATTGTTATAACCAACATTTTTGAAATTTAATCTCATGTATCTAAAAACTATATATCTATATACTCTCTAGCGGTTAAATCTCAATCCTCATCTATCTATTATTGGTTTAAGTTAATAAATAGACGAGAATTAAAATTTAAGTTAATTTCCCATTGGACCAAGTATGCAATCTAGTATGAAGTAAGAACGTGAATGAATTGGTTGGTACTCATGGTTACTCCCAGAATTTAATTATGGTGTGAAAATATATGTTATTAAAAAATATATTATCTACTCAAACTGTTAAAAGATAAAAACATTCTCATAATTGAATGCATGTAACCAAATCTGTATTTTTTTTTTCTTAGAATATATACAGGTTGCAATCCTATTTGGCCATGGTTTGTATAATTTGTGAGTACTCTATCTTGCCACGTCTCTTGATAGTTAGGTATGCAATGTTGCCTCTTCTGACATAAACTACATCTTTACTTCTTTTTTTTACTAGTGTATAATTTCTTTTTTTATCTAACATAATTTAAATTTAAATAAAAAATTAATATAACCAATTAAAATTAAATTATGTATATTTGTTCAACAAATAAAATTAAAAATATATTATATTCTTACTATATTTAATATATACATATATCATTATATAATAAATTTTCTTAATTTATCCGATATAATTTAAATTTAAATAAAAATTAATATCATCAATTAAAATTAAATTATTATTATTTTTCAACCAATAAAATTAAATTTTTTGATGATATTTTTATCAATTCATAATTTTTTTTTAATTCATTAGAGGCATTTATAAGTCGAAATAACACTGCGGGCTACTTCACAACAAGGGGTAGGTCTCCCCCTTCGCTCACAAAATCGGTGAAAACAACTATGGTCGAGAGAGACTCAATCTCAAGACCTCTTACTCCTCGCATAAGTGAGAAGATCAACAAAACCATCGTCTGAATGACTTTATGAATTCATAATTTAGTAGAAACATTTTCAGCGATCCTAATGTTTCCCCTATTCTACTTTTATATATAATTATAAAATATAGATAGATATAAATTATACAATTATTGATTATATATAAATGGAAAATATAGATTTTGTAGATAGATATGGAAAGATGCATGTATAATTCTTCATCAAAAAAAAAAAAAAAAAAACATAAAAAAAAAAAAAAAAAAAATTACATGTATAATAATAACCCAATGACTTTTAAATTCGTTTGTTGTTAGATTTCACATCATTTCCAGCAAGTTTTGTTCTCTTCCGACACATCATCATTAACTCTGCCTATTTTAGATTTCAAATTTTTTAAATTTTAAATTTTTTGCAAATTATATTTAATTTTTAAATTTTAATTAAATAAGCCACAACACATGATTAGCCAGCCAACCTTCTTGTTTTATACACAATCCAAATAATAAATAAACATAAATCTTGTCTTATATGATAGATTCTCATATAAAAAATCCTTCATAATACACCCAAAGCTCTTCAAACATGGAAAAAGACCGAAGCTCTGAAAAAATGAAGACCCATCATCTTTGCATCTCTACCAAGCTCAGAAGCAGCAAAAGTAAGAACTGCCTGTCTCCGATGACTCTCCTCCAGCGCTTCCACAAAGCCGTCTTCCGGTTGATGATGGTGTCTGCTCTCTCCAAGGTCAATAGTAGTAGTAGTAATAACAACAGCAACAGTAAGATTGATTGTGGATCACCGGTGATGAAGAGATATTACTATTCAGCTGATCACCATAGCGAAGCTGTGGCCGATTGCATTGAGTTTATCAAGAAAACAACGGTTGCAGAGGAGGAGAGTGGCGGCCGAAGCTCCACTGCCCCTGAGTTGGTTATGCCTGCAGTCTCAGTTACGTGAGGAATTATTTAGGATTGATTTGGATTGTTTGTGTATTTTTCTATATATTTTATGTGTTTAATTTCCTTTTTTTTTTTGTGTGAGTAATTTTATTTTATTTTGGAAATATCACCAGGTCAGGTGGGAGATAGTATCTATATATATATATATAAAATACATATCTTGTAAAACTTAATTAGTTTGCATGAAATTTACAGCAAATTGTAGGTTATCAATTGATCAACCTTTCTTTTGTTGATTTTGTTTTTGAAAAAGAAGATGTTATTTATGAATGTCAATGACACGTAAAAATTTTTAACCCTCCCAGCAAAGTATGTTTTCTAATATTAAATTTGTATAATCATTTTTAGGGGGTTGAAATCGTTTATCACCCGAACCACCATCTTATTAATTAACAGCTCTTATTAAAGAATAAACTAAAGTATTCGTAATTTACGGGACGAAGTTACCTTGTGCCATTCTCTTTAAAAATAATATTTTCCTTCGAATCTTGCCCAACTAAGATTTCAACACCATGTCTCTCTTCTTTTATAATATTTTCATTTAATTAAATTTTTTACCATTTTGCCCTCTATTTTTAGACCCTAGCTTTGTTTCTATTGATTTACAGATATACTCGATAAAATTTTTAAAATGCCTAAATAATTCTATTGACAATATATATATATATATAATACTATATATATATAAATATATAATATATATATTTCATAACAGAAAATTATATCATTAACAGAAAATTAGGATATAATAGAATATCTACTTTGATTATGTACCAAAATTTGAGTTAATAAATCCAAGGAACGAATATCACTTACCAATTAACTTTATCCTTAAATAACTGGGTTTTAATTTGTACCAAAAAAAGATAACTTAATTTGTTTCACTACTATGTTTAACACTACTTATTGCATTAGTGGTAGGGGTGTAATTCAATTAGCATTGAATGTAACCTCGTCCCAATTTCATTCCGAAATATTTTAAAATTTCAAATTTTATCCCATTTTATTGAAAATATATTTTAAAATTAAAAATTTCATTTCATACGATTTTATGAAAATTCAATTTGATATTGATAATTCTAAATTTGTCAAACCTAAACATAGATTTAGTCCATTGTGATATATTTTAAGATATAAAATTTTAAATTTTAATAAAAAAAATTAATATGTTGATTGAAAATTAAGTGTAAAATACTAAAAAAATATAATTAAATTGTAATAAAATAATAAATTAGTATTATAATCACAAATTTAAGCTCATTGACGAGGAAGCGAAATATATTTTCACTTGATAACTTTCTATTTAATTAGTAATGATTAATGAAGTAATGATAAATACAGAAGAAGACTGAAAGTTGGTGTGACCATAAAACAAATACAATAAAATTTAAAAACAAGAAATTACAAAGAGAAATAAGAAATTAAATAAAAGTAAAAAACAAATCAAAAGAAAAATTTCATAGTAAAAATTTTTAAAGATGTGAAAGTTGATCGAGACATGCAAATTGTAACTATATAAAGCTGACTTCTCTTTTTATTTTTAATGAATCCACGAACAAAACTACGTCGTTTTACGTTAGGTTGCATTTTAATTACAGAAACAAAGAGTTCCCTCAAATCTCTAACTCTCCCTTCGTGCAACTGCACCGCTTTCTCTCCTTCTACAGCCACAGTCTTTCTTTATACCTTCCCGTCGCTTTCGTTCTTGACCGTCGCCTCCGCAGCAGTCTTGCTCTTCAAGCGTACAAGTGCCAGGTTCGTTCTTGATCTTTTTTTTTTTTTTTTTTTTTTTTTTTTTTTCGCTTCTCAGTTTAATTATTTTTCGTTTTTGCTTCGTCCCCTTTTCCTTTTTCTTTTTTTTTTTTTTGTTTCATACATAGATATTCCACTCAACTAAACCATCACGACAAACGCAATGAGGTGCGACATCTTTGTGATAAATGTCAGTTATTCAGGCCATCTTCTTATTTATGCTAGTGCACTTGTCTATCTGTGTGTTTGCACTATCTCTCTCCTATTGGTTAGCCTGAGATGTACTCTATGCGTTTCTACTGTATTAATAAGTTAAATTTTTTGCCATTTTGTGGATTTGAGCAATACGTGGCGATGATCAGACGAAGATATGTTGTAGAAAATATATAAATAGTAAGCCCAAATTGGATCTCGCGAAGTGAAATACAGTATCTCACAAATTCGCTGTGCAAAGATAATATACTAACAGGTGAATATGTATCGACATGTATTGGTTTTGACTTAACTTCTCAAAGATTATGCTTGTGTGTAATCTCTCTAAAGCTTTGTTCGATTAATATATCTGATTAAGATTGTGTGTAGTTAGATCATTCTGAGTCACGTAAGTGAGTATAATCTTGCACAATTTGAGATGGTCATTAGGGTGGCCAAAAAATGACTAGAGTAATGGTGTAGCCTAATATAAGTTGTCCTGTTTTAGGTACAAGTAAAGTAGATATTTAGTTATAGGTATTAGGATTAATTCTGTGAATATTTATTATAGAGCTTGTCATTACTCTTTTCCTCCTCATATTTATTTGAGAATAATACGGGTGCACCAGACGTACAGAGAGCGTGTGAGATAGCGTATGCAACATGTGTACAGTGTGTTATACGATCCATGTTGCCCATACGCGACTTATAGAAAGAATCGCTAGAGTGTTTTAACTTTGACTCCAAGCTAAATGTTGCTTTTTTTTTTTTTCTCTCTAATACTGATGTTACTTTAGCCACTCTATGAGAATGAGAGATATTTCAATCATGATTCCTACATTGTGCTATAGCGTTTTGCTTTTTACTCACTTTTACTTTATATATATGTCATGATTACAATATAGGTTGCTTGGCACATACCAAGTGGATATTACTAAACTCATGACAGTCTTAGGATCAGAAATTTATCAAAAAGTATCGAATAGTCCTCAAAGTTACTAGCAGTCCTAATTATTGATTCTCATATTCTGGTGCGTCCTCACAGCACGGAGTCAAATGTGTTTAATGTGAGTGGACGCGAAGAATGATGGTATTAGTTAATTCTTGCAATCTTGAGTACATGGTAATGAAAATGGAGTCAAAGAATTAATGCATTGTGTTAAGATATCATAGTGAATACGTTAAATCTCTGACTCCTGTGGTTTTTTGTAGGAAATGAATCCCATAGATTTTACTGTACTGTTTAACTTTTATGTAATTAATTAGATACTTGGGAACGTGGTTAGTGTACCTATAGGATATATGGAGTTAGTTCTCATTATATGATAATTGTCTATGAGGTTTAAGTAATACATATATTTTAAATGTGATTCTTGTAGTTTAGGTTATATTGTTATTATTCTTTATTGTAATTTCTTATAGACTGTATAGAGATTAGCTCTCAAATATAGTTTCACTATGAGATAATTGGTTTGACTCTATTTAGTTTAGTGCTTTGAATTTTTCAATTCTTTTGTTCTACTTAGAATATTATCTATGTAACGCGTTGTTTTAGACCTAATATTACAATTAGATGCTCTTTTAATATCCTAGAAGCTGAATTTGGTAATGCCATTTCTAATATATATGTGTTGTTGACACTCTACGGGTGGGATTCGGTCTCCTCTAGCGGGTTGGTTTCATAAATTGATAAAGTTATGTCGAATTAAACGGGTATGGCGTAATGGGGTTCGGGATAGCGTGAGGGTAATTCTAAAATTACAGGTTTTGACGGAGCGGTTCTTGGGTATTATGTTTATTCCTGTAAACGGGTTTTCCTCCTACTTCAAAGTAGTATAATGGATTGCGAATTCTGCGGTACTTGATATTTCTACGGAGTACCCAGCCTGCTGCCATCCCTAGTCGGGAATGCAGATGCGGTATTTAGTTTGGGCTGATTTCTTTATGCATTTGAGTTTGTACAGCCATTTTCTGGAATATTTTTTGCTCAGAATCGATGCAGAGATTGAGTCCTCTCAATTCACTCGCAAAAAAGACACCTATCTCACCGGAATGAGCATAGACAAGAAAGGAGGGAAGTTCTCATTATATGATAATTTGTTATAGTTTAGTATTATTATATTTTAATTGATTTTTAGTTTGTTATTGTTATTATTCTTATTGAATTTTAATAGATGTATGATTGTCAAATTGTTTAATTGAGATATTGGTTTGAATTATTTATTTAGGTTGAATTTCAATTCTTTTGTTTTATTTAAATATTACTATGTACTGTTGTTTTAGAATATTACAGGTTAGATTGTTTTATTATTTTGAAGTTGAATTTTAATGCATTTTTTTATATATTTTTTTGTTGCACTTCGGGTTTGGATTCGGGCTCCATGCGGGTTTGGTTTTCATAAATTGAATAAATTTGTGATTAAACGGGTATGTAAATGGGTTCGGGTAGTGTGTGGGTAATTCTAAACAGGTTTGGGACGGTTTTGGGTATTATTGGTTTATTCCTTAACGGGTTCCGGTACTTAAAGTGATAATGGATTCGAATTTGGGTACTTTATTTCTAGCGGGTACCCGCCTTGCTGCCATCCCTAGTCGGGATCAGATGCGTATTTTAGTTTTGGGCTGATTTCTTTTTGAATTTAGAGTTTTTACGCATTTTCTGGAATTTTTTTGCTCAGAAATCGATGCAGAGATGAGTTCCTTCTCAATCACTCGCAAAAAGACACCTTTCCAGAAGCATAGAGAGGAGGAAGAAGCAAAGAAAAAGGTACCTATTGTGGTTGCTGCCTTAAATCTAAATGTCAAAGTTGACTGAGCTCTATTTGCAAATAAATTTGCTACCTTTGTTAATGAGTTGGTTTCTTTCTCCTCTATCCTTCTTCTCTGAAGAGAGAGGATGATGAGACAGCTCGTCTGTATGCGGAGTTTGTGGAGTCATTTCAAGGGGATAATGCACCCGGGTCTAAGGCTTTTGTTCGAGGTGGAACCATCAATCCAAATGAGAAAGTAAAGCCTGAATCTGAAGGTTAGTCTAAAAAATATAACCTGTTTGCTCATTGATTTTAAGTTACGTTTTTTCATTTTAATTTTATGTTTTATTCTTATTTGTTTCACACTCTGGATAAATTACTAGTTTTCTATTATTACGGGAACACATTAATAAAAGTATGGGCCTTTTTTATTCATTCGCAAATGGCAGGTGAAAAGTCCAAAGATGGGGTATCTGGTCCAAAAAAGGGAAGTAGGTAAAGAAATACTTTTGATTGATTACAAACTTGATTAACCATGTTGCAATGCGTTTTCACAAGGCATCATGAAGTTAGGATAACGTGGTGCTGATATCGTTAGATTTAGTTTTTGTTTGTTAGGCTTGTAAAATCTTGTAAAATTTAAGGAAACTAGGAGATGACTTGGTTGTTGTTTTGTTTGCTTTAAGGCCTCATTTTGCCTTAGCTTCATTTTGTGAGAATTTGTGAATAGCTATTTATGATACTGGAACTTGGCAAAGTTTCTATATGTGCAGTGAGATTTTCAATTTGGTGATGTCTTTATGCTAGATATTTTTTGAAATTCGCCTCTTGGCAATCTCATGCTTTCTTTGATGCTGTAATAGTGTTCGAGTCTCGAGAAGGTTGTTGACTTGTTAATTTCAATATTTTATGTTGACATCATGCATGGTGACTGATAGAACTTAAGTATAAACTCTAGAGGAAGATGAGTAATACTGCTTTCTTCTGATTATCAACTTCTGCATTACTTGGCCTTGCTGAAGTCAGTGGTCACATTGATGTTGACTTGGGGAACTTTAAAGCTCTTAAAATTTTTTGATAATTGGTTTAAAGTGGATCCTTGTATCATTGTGTTTTAAGCATAGCCATGAGGTGCTTGTATATTGTTGAATGTAAGTTATTCTTGAAATATGGATGTCCCTCTAAATTTGTTGTATTGAGCTAAAAAAAACTGTATTCTAAATAGTAATATTTTGATAGTATCTTAGGATTTTGTGGATTATATATCCTCTCTAATTAATTTTTCAGGTATAGAATATCAGTTGAAACGTGGTTGGCTTTTCTTGAATGCTTTTGATGTTGTTATTCTGCTTTAGAGTTTTCAGATGACAAGAAATGTTTGTTTGGTATAATGAATTTGGATAAAATTTCAAGAGAAAGCAGTGGAGTATATTATTCAGTAGTACATTTTTCGACATTAAGAATATGAATGATTAATGCATGTTTATAGGTAAAAAATTGACACATATTGGCATCTGCTCTAGGGTTAGTGTAATTGATTGATTGATTGATTGATTGTTGCTTGGACTTTTGTGATGAAACATGAAAACTAGTGTCATAAATTAGTATCTTATCAACACAAATGAACGGTTATTAGATGTGTCAATTGTGTTGGTGAAAAAGAGGGTTCTCTCTTGTGGAACTCATAGTCAATTCTCTTCGAATTACATCCTATTGTTGGAGAGACTAGGGTATCAGATTTCCCTTTGTGCAGAAGTAGCATACCATCTACTTACTGTTTCTTCAGTGTTTTACTATTTTTTGGTGAATTATTTGATATATTATTTTAGTACCTTATGGTAAATCAGAATATTGTAGATATCTCACTTTATGATGTTAAGTATACATAATGTCTATTGACTGTTGAATTATAGTGAACTCTACTCATCCTTCCACCCCTGGGCATAGTTTGATTTGTATTACAATAATAACTTATGACAGTTAGAGGAATGAAAATGTGCTACTAAGGTCAATACTTAGGGAGAATACCAGCGTATAATAAGCATCTAAGTTTTGTCTATGAACTGCCAAATGATACAAATGTTCCATTGTGATTAGTAGCTTAATCAAGGTTATGATCAAGTTAGTGATTGAGTCTCTGTATGATATACGCATATTGATGCGTCCTTGGCACCATATCCAATTCATATGCTGCTTGTTAACAAGAGGTCAGTGTCTCTGGTAGATGTTCTTATCACTACTGCTTATTAGAATGGGACCAACATTAGACTGATAAAATGCACTCCATTTCTCATCTGCTTTAAAAAAAATGTGGAAATAGAACAAATGGAAAGTTAACATGAGCTTTGTCTTTGGAAAAAAGATGTTGTGAACTGTTGTTGGCTTTGTTACCAAATTATCTCTCTGTCTTGGTGACCTGGATGTTTTATCTTTAACATCACTTCTGCAGGTATGTCCCATCTTTTTTGCCACCTCCAATGGCAGTCAAGGGAAAAGAAAAAGAATCTGAGAAGAAGGTCAGTATTTTGATAGAAGTTATGGTACACTGCTTGTATTCTTAAGTTTTTGATCGTAATGCACATATCTAATATCAAACTTTTGCATTTACTTTATAGAAGGAGGAGGAAAGACCAAAGGAGAAGGAAAAAGGAAAGACAAGGAACATAGATCATTTCATGGAGGAATTGAAGCATGAACATGAGCTGAGAGAGAGACGAAATCAGGAACGTGAGCGTTGGCGTGATGGGCGTCCTAGTGAGAGTGCTGCTGTAAGTTCACTCTCGCCCCCCACCTTCTTTTAACAACGTGATCTTTCTTTTCAGAGTGGGGATATTAGACCTAAATCACCCTTTTGATACACGTGTTTCTTTAGTTTTTGGCCTTTGTATTATTCCGAGCAACTCTTGATATAGGTGATAATGCTTCCTGTGATATCATGTTTACTCTGTGTATCTCCAATCACTCTGAAATATAGATGAACTTTTTAATATTTCCAGCCATCTAGTCGATTTGATGAACTGCCTGATGACTTTGATCCAAGTGGAAAAGGATCATTTGATGATGGTGATCCACAAACTACAAATCTTTATGTTGGGAATCTCTCTCCTCAGGTGTGATAGTTATTTTGATACTTGTTCATTTTCTCTCATTAATTCTTTATTATTTTTGCACTCGAGAACTTGGTAACATTTTCTTGTGCTTATTATTCTAGGTTGATGAGAACTTTCTTCTACGGACATTTGGAAGATTTGGGCCTATTGCTAGCGTAAAGATAATGTGGCCCAGAACAGAAGAAGAGCGAAGGCGGCAGAGGAATTGTGGATTTGTAGCATTTATGAATAGAGCTGATGGACAAGCTGCAAAAGATGAAATGCAAGGTTTGTCAATGTTCTTTGCTTCCTATATGTACTATAAATCTTGTTAACGAGTTATTGAGGTCTCTGTTATGAGAACTTTGCTACTTGCCCTCCCGATACCTATGTCATATATGGGTATGGAATGTGGATTCAGACTACTATTTCAGACACAGCTTTGTCTTCCAATCTGAATAAACCAAAAAAAAAAGGGTAAAACATGCAGAGTATAGATGAAAAAGACTGTTGATTATTACTACTTGGACAGTTTAGAAAATAGTCTTTCTATACTACCTTTTTGTAATTGAACAGGTACATTCAGTGCGTCAATGTGCCTGCACTATCAAGTATTCTTGATTTATTATTGATGTGTTTTGCCTCTATTTTCATCTGTAATTTATAATGAAAATGTGGTTGAAGAGATATATTTCGTGTCACAGGAGTTGTTGTGTATGAATATGAGTTGAAGATTGGGTGGGGTAAATCTGTAGCTCTTCCATCACAAGCACTCCCTGCTCCACCACCGGGACATATGGCCATCAGGAGTAAGGAGGTATGCTACGTTTTCCTATAAACACCTGAAGCTTATGTTTGAGACTACTTTCTCATGAAAAAGGAAATACTAGTTTTCCTCATTTGATAATCATTAGCATAATAGGCAGTTCAAGAATTTGCGTTGTCACCATGCTCCGTGATTCTGAGACATTTAACTTCTGTTTGATAGGGTGCGACTGTTATTCTCTCTGGTCCATCCGGCCCACCAGTTACTTCGGTCCCAAATCATAATTCCGAACTGGTAAGTTCACCAAATTTATCCTGACTGCTTTATTTTAAAATGGAGCTATAATATGCGACTCTTAAGTTTAATGAAAATGGAATAAACTGTAATATGACGTTGTAATTGGAGAATTTTTGTTGCCCTCTTATATGCATTCTTTTTAGAGCTTACAAATGTTGCTATTTTGATATGACAATCTGATCAGAGCATAGGCTGCTATTCTTGTTAATTCGTAAAATGTATATACTTTAACTAATTTGTGGTAAAAAAAAATGAAATGTTCAAGGTGATATTTTGGATTGCTATTACCATCTTATTTTGGTCCATTCTTGTCTTCAGTAATCCAGTTCATGCTAACCATATTTGGGAACATGTCTATCTTATCCAATGCTTATTTTTCATCTGAAGTTTTGAATTTTCTTGTTATTTTTGTATAAATCTCATTCATGACTTGAGCTTTGAGTGCAGGTTCTTACTCCAAATGTTCCTGATATTATGGTTGTACCACCTGATGATCATCATCTGCGCCATGTAATTGATACAATGGCTCTGTATGTTTTGGATGGAGGATGTGCTTTTGAACAAGCTATCATGGAAAGGGGTCGTGGGAATCCTCTTTTCAGCTTTTTGTTCGAGCTTGGGTCAAAGGAACATACATATTATGTTTGGAGACTGTATTCTTTTGCTCAGGTGCATCCTCTTATGCCTGGCTGACATGTTGACATGTATTTGGAGTTTGCAGTATAAACTTGGTGATTCTTAAAAGTAGCATCAAATTTCATTCTGAATAACAAGAATTATTGTTAAATTTGTATGGTATGGTCGTCGTGATCATCTGCCTTCGTAAAATTTCATGTTTAAATTATTCTGCTCTAAAAAAAAAGGTGTCTTTTACATATTTATATTCATTAGGCGGTTGACAATGTTCCATTTTTCTGGCAATTTAGGGTGATACTCTTCAAAGGTGGCGAACAGAACCATTTATCATGATCACTGGTAGTGGGAGGTATGCTGTGTTTCTATGATGTTGGTGCATGGTTATTTCAGTAGGCACATATAAATTTCTGACTGTGTTGTTCGGAAGACAATGGTGATGTGATATTACTTGTTTTTATTTTCACCTAGATGGATGCCACCACCTTTGCCCACGGCAAAGAGCCCAGAGCATGAGAAAGAGTCTGGTAACACTTATGCTGCAGGAAAAAGCAGGGTATATTTATGATTTGTATTTCTGGCAGTTACAGTTTACTTGCAGATTATGTAACTCTTCTTACTGATTTGAAATTTTGCAGCGTGTTGACCCAGAAAGAACCCTGACTGATCCACAGAGGGATGAGTTTGAGGATATGTTACGTGCCTTGACATTAGAAAGAAATCAGATAAAGGAAGCCATGGGTTTTGCCCTGGATAATGCTGATGCTGCTGGAGAGGTGATGCCTTGTATCTGAGCACTTACCTTCGTTTTCTTTTACATACTCTGCTTTGTGGACTGCAAATATTTTGTTCCATTTATTTATTCCATATATTATAAGTTCATTCCATTGGAGTGACAAACAATGGTTGGCACCTGACACTATGGTCTAATTGATGCTAGCCTACTTATTTGTTTTAACTGGGTCTTCATTTGCTAATCATGTTGATTATGAAGATATTGAACTTGCTATGGACAGAAGCTGTGTTCATCAGCGAGGAAGCAAAATAATTGAAGTAATAACTTTTTGGCCTGGGGACTCGAACAATTAACACTGAATGGAGGATTTGTTTTGCAATCTGTTTTCATGGTTATTAATTGGAAGTACTTGGTAACTTATGTTTCTCATGTATTTTGGATTTTATTGCAGATAGTGGAAGTTCTAACAGAGTCTCTGACACTCAAAGAAACTCCAATTCCCACTAAAGTTGCAAGACTCATGCTCGTTTCTGACATTCTTCATAATAGCAGCGCTCCTGTTAAAAATGCTTCTGCATACCGTACCAAATTTGAAGCTACACTGCCTGACATAATGGAGAGTTTTAATGATTTGTATCGTAGTATAACTGGAAGGATCACTGCTGAGGCACTCAAGGTAAAGCTGTTTTCAAGTTCAACTCTCCTTTTTCATTGATTTTCACCCTTCCCTAATGTAAGCATTCTCTGGGTATCAACAGGAACGGGTCCTGAAGGTATTGCAAGTATGGGCAGACTGGTTTCTATTTTCAGATGCATATGTGAATGGATTACGGGCTACGTTTCTCCGATCTAGTACTTCTGGAGTTATACCATTTCATTCTATATGTGGTGATGCACCAGAAATAGAAAAGAAGACTAGCTCGGAAGATGCAGTTGATGGGGCAAAAACCAACCAAGATGCTGCATTGGCAATGGGCAAAGGAGCAGCTACGAAGGAGCTAATGAGTCTTCCCCTTGGCGAGCTGGAAAGGCGATGCAGACATAATGGACTGTCTCTTGTTGGTGGAAGAGAAATGATGGTTGCACGACTGCTTAGTCTTGAGGAGGCAGAAAAGCAGAGGAGCTATGAGTTGGATGATGACTTGAAATTTTCTCAGAGCCATTCAAGTTCTAGTAAATTTTCAAGTAGCCGCAGAGACAAAAATGTTGAATCAGAGCCTGCAGGGTTGTCCGGGTGGAATCTTTATGGGGATGATGAGATGGAGTCTCAAAGCAGAGGGTCTGCATCTTTATCAACAACTCTTCCAATTCCACAAACTGAACTAAAAGCTTTCACAAAGAAAGAGAAAAATGATCCCATTTTGCCAGCCTCTAAATGGGCCCGAGATGATGATGACAGTGATGATGATCAAAAGAAAAGTGCGAGAGGTTTGGGGTTGAGCTATTCTTCATCCGGAAGTGAAAATGCTGGCGATGGTCTAGTTAAGGCTGATGATGAAATAGAGTTTGCTACTGATGCAAGCATTCCCATGCAGACTGAAAGTGGGATGAATGAGGAGCAAAGGTAAATCTGTTTTGTTTTATTAAAGCGTGTTGAAAATTTGCTGCTTTATTATTATTATTATTTAAAAACTAAAAGATTCTTTTGGAACATCACTGATTTAGTCACTCTAATTATCCATCACCCTTCCATTTTTTGCCCAGTTTATTCATTTTACTTTGCTTATGATGTTGCAGACAGAAGTTGAGACGTCTAGAGGTTTCTTTGATAGAATATCGTGAATCCCTTGAGGAGCGAGGAATAAAAAGTGCAGAGGAAATTGAGAGAAAAGTTGCAATCCATCGGAAACGGCTACAATCTGAATATGGATTACTGGATTCTCCTCAAGATATCCCTGGGAACAGTAGTAAGTCATCATTTTGCAACTAAGTGGATTCCTGCCTAATTTAGTTATTGCGAGAGCTATTATTTGTCAGTAGAGAATTTGTGAGATATAGCATTTATTATGCAAGTTTACATTAGTTTCATGCACCTCCAGTTCCCAAAAGGGCAAAAGAGCTACCTTCCTGGAGGCAAATGAAGTATGATAGTTTCTTTGAGAAATTCTATTCTGTTTATTTTGTTCATGTGTAGGTTTGTCATCTTGGTCCCCTCCGAAATAATATTAGTTCCTTGGTATTGGTTCCATTGTTGCTTGTGTACTTGTGGTTTAGTCTTCCCATCTGTACCATTTTACTTAACTATTTTACCTGAAGAAAATACGTGTAAATTTATCTCCTTTAACTGCAGAGAGAACATCATCAGAAAGGAGGGATAGAAGGGATGATAGCCGTGAATCTTCAAGAAAGCGACACCGCAGCCAGAGCCCACAACGGAAAACATCAACCAAGGACAGGGAGAGGGAAAATGCTTCGGACAGGGACTGGGAAAGGCACAGGGATAGAGATAAAGCTCATGATTTGGAAAGTGAAAGGTGGGATAGGGATAGCCGCGAAAAGAGTGGAAGTAGAGAGCGGGATGATCATGACAGAGATAGAGGTAGAGAAAGAGATAGAGATAGGAGGAGACGGGTAAAATGAGTTTGTCAATTCAAGGGATCCAACAAAGCAGAATTTCTTGTCCATATTAAGTTGACAGTTAAATGAACATCAATAGGTGCACATTTCTCCGAGTATTGGTCTGGGATGTCTTAAGATGACTTATTAATCGACTTGGGTACATTTACACCTTCCAGGTGAGAACCTAAGAGCAAGAGAGGAAACACATCTTGTTAAACCTTGTTGTAGTTGTAATTTGATTTTGCCGTTATTAATTCTGAACGTCTCGTCTTTCAGCTAAGTAATTGTGCCATGCATGTATAATTTTTCCTCCAAATGCAATTAATCTTTCCTTTTCGGCTTCTGTTTGTTAAATTTCTCTCTTGCTAATTTCTATGACAAAGGAATGTCAAGGATTTTGTTGGCATCTTCTTTAACAAATGCGAAATTCTTAGAACCGGAGGACCAATCTGGCATCTGCATCTTTAAAGCTTGTTTCTTCCTTCAACAAGCTCATCGTCTCGTCAAGTTCAGAAAGACGCCATTTGAGACATTCAATTGGACAGCATATGTTTAGTTCCTTACATTCGCCTGTCCATAACAAACAAAAGGCCCAATTACATGTGCTTCGGTCATGAACAATAGAATATTTTCTGTCGGACACTGGAACTATTTCCTTTGTAAACAAACATTAATTTTCAAAGAGAAAATATAAGACACCGACCGGAATCCTGAAAAATAATATTCTCTGTACTAAGCAAAGGCTGCTAAATTTTCCATGCTATTCACAGGGGAAATCAGTCATTGCAACGTGCTCGCAGAGGAAGTATGTATCTTTCTCGTCCTGCTCAAAATGAAATCTGATCTACATTTACAAATTTAACTTGACAATTAAACAATTTGTAAAGCTCAGTGCTATTTTGTCTTCAAAAATCCTTTGTCTTCAAAAATCCTAGAAGTGAAAACAACATGAAAATTTCTCCTATGGACGAAGTTATCTCAGCAACCACTTCTTTCGGAGTGAGGCATCCAGTGCCAAAAATGTCTTTGCCTTTTTATCATCTTCTAGAAGATCACAAGCATCCAACAGAAGTTCTTCATCTATGTCTGGTATAGCTTGAAGAGCATAAATTGCTCTCTTTCTTACTTACCGATATTGTAATAAATGCATCTGCAACTTCAGAAAGAGCTCTTCGCATATCTTTGCCAGTTTTCTGTACCTTGTTAGCATTTTCATGGTCTGATGGTGTTGTAGAAGAAAATGTCCATCTACAAGTAATCCATCCACCAGGACTTCCTGGGTATCATTGTCAGTTTGCTGTTGTTGACCTTGTTCTCCAATATTTGACACTTCATTTCTTTGAATTCTGCATAGATCTCCAAGACTTTATTTCTGTAGAAAATGGCATCTGGCTTTTCCTGCAGAATTCCATGGGACTGAGTAGTAACATGATCAGTGAAGTCATTTATAAATAGAACCTCTCAGTAGAGATTCATATAGCAATGGGTTTGATATAATTTGGCACATGTTCAAAAAGAATGAGGAACATACCTGAATGTAAGCTTCCCAGGCTGCATCATCAGCAGTTACCATCTGTTGAATTGCATCCCATGCAAAACCACTATGACTGAGAAGAAATGAGAGGAACACGTCCATGCCATAAGGACTTGAGAAATTCTCAACTGGGGGGTTAACTTTCAAGGTGTAAAAAGAACTGAACACTAGGACAGCATAGGGCCGAAAGGAGGCATAAAACTAGTTTTTGAGGCTTTGTTTTATCCTGCTGTGAGCTTTAGTTTCCGCTCATGGGCAACAGTACATATTTTAGATCTTTATGACTGAATAAATCCATGCAAAAGCATTCAGAAACAAACTAATCCTGATAAAAGTGAAGTTGCAATTCACTAGTTTTTATTCCACAAATGTCCTTCGCTTGATGTAAATTAGTGTCAACTCCATCTTCAGTTGCATCCCCAAATACATATAAGGACCAAATCATTGTAATTTGGCAAAGTCTTCATTCTGTATGCCCGTGCTTGTGGATGTACCTACACAGCAATTGGGTAATGTTATTTAAAGAAAAACAAAGAAAACATCATTGTCAGCTACAATCATTTGTTGTGTTTCATCCCAGCAAAAACCATTTTCTTTCAACAATTTCTTGTATCTGTCGTAAAACTCTTTTTCCGACCAAGCTTGTTTATTAAATGTGTTGGAAAATGGGAGAGGAGAGCTGGTTTTAGCATTTTCAAAGAAACAACAGAAGTATATCTTAAACACATAACAAAGGAAGAGGTAAAGATGAAGAGAAAAAAAAATATAAATTCATTACTCATAGTAAAAGGATTTACAAAGCATAAAAAACAAAGGTTTTTTCTTCTTCTTCTTCATTCTCATCGTTATCCAACTCTCTCCTTTTTCTCTTTTTTCACAATCTCAAATCTGTCCCAGCAGCCACATTTATACAAAGAAATGCAATCTAGTCTTTAAAGGGTCTATTCGGCAAATTTAGTTGTTTTAGTGGTTATTAACTGTTTTACGAGTGGTTAGCAGTTAAATATTAACTATTAGTGGTTAACGATTATATAACGGTTTGGAATAAAAATGTTCGGTACAAATAACTATTTGATTAGTTGTTTAGACAAAAAAGGTATGAAAGTGAAGAACAAGATATATAAAAACAAGTGATGGGCATATATGTCATAAAGAATTTATAAAACGCTAAACATTAACGAAGATAATGTTTCATAAAACACCATTTCAAACTCTAAACGCTAGAATAGATATTATATTACCGAACGTTATAATTAATTAAAATAGTGTTTCTACCCTGTCAAAACATTAAACACTATTTCAAAAATTGCTGCGGAAGAGGGCACAACTCTCTGCCAAAGGCCATACTTTTTTTCCTTAAAACAAGGGCTTCCATCCCTTTTCAACTAAGCAAAATCTTATTCTCCAACAAAATGTATTATTAGTTTTATTGCCTTTTATTATTTGGTCTAGCAACAGTTCAACAAAATACTGGTCCATACTTCCAGTCCTTGGACGTTCATTATATGATGAAGCACAACTTCCCATTGCATCACCTAAATATAGAGAAAACACTCAGACGGAGTTTTGTATATCTGATCATAGGATGTAGTTGGTAGTCCATTGGTTTGACCAACCAATTTTTTTCCATTATAAAAAGGAAAAAAAAAAAAAAAAACAAAAACCAATGCAGACCTTTTGGCACCTCAAAAGCTGCAATCAAAATTTAAGTAGTGCTCAACCTATCTTATGATAGGAGATCACCTAGCTAGGCCATATGAATGGTACCTGATGGCTGAACAGTGGAAATTTGGCCTTAGGTATGATAAGGTAAGATCTACCTTGTTTACGGCCACAGCAAGTTCTTGAATAATGCAAGATACTGGACATAACAAAGTCGTATCTTCTTTACCTACCTCTCTTGTCTTGTCACTAAAATTTTAGATTAATATTTCAACTATGTGATGGGAGCGGGTATAAAGCGGAAACAACCCTTTTCGAAATCATATGAGGCAAACTAAAAACATTATCAAACAAATCAATAAATTGACCTCTTGAAGCGCAGAATCGCTCACCGGTCTTCTTTTCAGAGATCTTGGCCATTTTGAATGGTAACCTGATGGCTGAAAGGAAATTGGCCTTAGGTATTGATAAGGTAAGATCTTACCTTGGTTTACTGGCCACAGGCAAGTATCTTGCAATAATCAAGATACATGGAACAATAACAAGAGTCGTATTCTTCTTTACCTAACCTCTCTTGTTCTTGTCACTAAATATTTCTAGATTAATATTTCAACTATGTGGATGGGAGCGGGTAAAAGCCCCACTGAAACAACCCCTTTTCGAAATCATATGAAGGCAAACTAAAAAAAACATTATCAAACAAATCCAATAAAATTGACCTCTTGAAGCTTGCAAGAATCGCTCACCGTCTTCTTTCAGAGATCTTGGAGTCACCCAACGACTCTTCAGCGAGTAATCCCTAACTATCTATCTCTTTGGAACTCTCTGAGCTGTCGTGCGAAGTAATCCCTAACATAATCTCTCTTTTGGAAAGAACTCTAATCCCTAACTATCTCTCTGAGTGGCAGAGAATAGAATAACGTGCGTCTCTCTATTCTTAGGGTTTTCAAATCTTATATTAAAAAAAACTCTCTTCGATAGAAAGATATTTTTTTTTAATATAAAATAAATTAAATAAAAAATTATTTAATTAAAATAATTATCAATTATTTTAAAACTGAATAATTTATCTATTATTTAATACACCCTTAACTTTCCAAATAATTAGGGCACTACAGGGACCTCAGGAATAAAATAAATCAGGCTACTAATTATAATAATAACCTATGTAGACCAACATATTCTTATTATAATTAATCATGAATTATTCCACAAAAACTTCATGACTGAACTCCTTATTGTATTTTACAACCACACATAATAAATAATGTTCCCCACGTTAATAAGCATTACAGATGCTTTGTTCATAGATGCTGTCATTTAAATAACTTACTGACAATTTATTTAAATCACAATATAACTTTAAGATTGTCGCTCAACTTATTTCATGTGTATTCAATATCCACCTATAGGATTTACACTATGAAACCTTATAAACTTACTTAAAGTGCATCATCAATCTCTAAACCGAGACATGGATTCTATCATTAATTAATATTTCACAAACACAATATATCTTTGCCCAATTCACCGAGAACATTATTCCAATAATGAAACTCACCCTTTAATGAATCAAAGCACAAGACAATCAATGTTTGCTCATATTAAAATAAATCAAGATTAAGAACGATAAACATTATTTCTAATGTCCTAGAGAAAATATGTTTAACAGTCATTACTAAACTAAACCCACTTCTTACTTGGCTCCAATTAAATACAATACAAAATGACTAATCACAATTATTGTTCATATGCTAAATAAACACTTTATTTAATATGCAAAATTTTCCAATTAAAATACATTTCCAATTAAATACAAAGAAATAATCGTCAATAGAAAATCATTCATAGCTATACTATTACATATGCATGGTTAATAGTATATCTCTATCAATTTCCCACTTAGACTCATAACCATGCATCAATAACTTTAACTCCCATTCCTTCTACATGACTGTTAAAAGCCTTTGCTGGTAAGCTTTTTGTAAAAGGATCTGCCAGGTTGTTTTCCGATGCAATCTTTGTCACTACCACATCTCCCCTTTGAACCATGTCTCGTATCAAATGATACTTCCTCTCAATGTGTTTTGCCCTTTTATGGCTCCGTGGCTCCTTGGCTCCTTCGAGTGTTGCAACTGCCCCACTATTATCAGCAATAAAGTGTAAAGGCAATTGCACTGAAGAAACTACGCCTAGATCCATAAGGAAGTTCCTAAGCCATACAGCTTCCTTTGCAGCTTCAGAAGCTGCCACATATTCAACTTCCATGGTGGAGTCAGCAACACAAGTTTGCTTAATACTCCTCCAACTTATGGCTCCACCTCCCAAGACAAAAGCATTACCAGAGGTTGACTTCCGAGAGTCCTTATCAGTCTGAAAATCCGAATCTGTATACCCAATGGGTACAAGATCGTCAGATTGATAAACTAACCTATAATCCCTAGTCCTTTTCAAGTACTTGATAATATGCTTGACTGCAGTCCAGTGTTCTCGCCCAGGATTAGATTGAAATCTGCTAACCATGCCAACAGCAAAACAGATATCAGGTCTGCCATGCCAACAGCAAAAACAGAATATCAGGGTCTGGTACACAACATTGCATACATAAGGGCTTCCAACTGGTCAGAAGCATATGGAACCTGCCTTCAGATGTTCTCTTAATCTCCTCAGGTGGGTCCTTAGGACATTGGATTGGTCCTTAGATAGAGTGATTCCATGTCTGAAGGGAAGAAAACCCTTCTTGGAATCCTGCATGCTGAAACGAGCAAGAATGGTATCAATAAAAAGTGCTTGAGATAAGCCAATCATCCTTTTCTTGCGATCTCGCATAAGCTTAATCCTAAGAATATGAGCAGCCTCTCCCAAATCCTTCATATCAAAACGTTGGGACAGCCAATCTTTGACAGAATTCAACATAATTCAACATACCTACACAATTCCCTATAAGCAGAATATCATCCACATATAGTACCAGAAAAACAACCTTACTACCATTCCATTTCTTATACACTCAAGACTCATCATGACACTGATCAAAGCCAAAACTTTTAATCACTTGGTCAAAACAAGTATTCCATGACCTAGATGCTAGTTTAAACCCATAAATGGACCTATTCAATTTGCAAAGCAAATTTTCTTGTCCATTGTTTATGAAACCTTCTGGTTGCTTCATATAGATACATTCATCAAGACTTCCATTTAGGAAAGCTGTCTTGACATCCATTTGCCAAATCTCATAATCATATCTCATAATCATAATGAGCTGCAATGGATAGAAGAGTTCTAATAGACTTTTTAAGCATGGAATAACCGGCGAAAAGTTTCCTCATAATTGATCCCTTTTCTGAGTAACCCTCGCCTTTTGCAACAAGCCTTGCCTTATAAGTTTGCACTTTACCGTCTATACCCCTCTTTTTCTTATAGAAATCCACTACATCCGATGGGTTTATACCGCCCTTCAGGTGGTTCTACAAGTTCCCAGACTTGATTAGAGTACATGGACTCCATCATCAAGATTTCCATAGCTACAAGCACTTATCAGCATCTTTACTTGTAGTGCTTCATCGTAACAGACAGGTTCAATTATTCACTTCTTCAGGGATTCTATCAAAAGCCTTCTCCACCAAAAGTGTAAATATCCGAACCGGTGGTCGTCTAATTCTCCCACTACGACGAAGTACGTACAGGTTCTGCAAGTCACACACTTCATCTTGCTGTGGCTGTAAAGCCGGCAAGTCCCAATGACTGGTGGGACTACATCTTGGATCATGTTCTGGAACTTCATACAAGTTCCCAGACTTGATTAGAGTACATGGACTCCATCTCAGATTTCATAGCTACAAGCCACTTATCAGCATCTTTATCTTGTAGTGCTTCATTGTAACAGACAGGTTCAATATTCACTTCTTCAGGGATTCTATCAAAAGCTTCTCCCAAAAGTGTATATCGAACCGGTCGACTAACATTTCTTCCACTACAACTAGGCAATGGAATGTTAGCTCCAACCATTGATGGTTTAGGTTGTTGTTCTAATGGAAAGGTTCTAGTTGATATATTTTCTCCTCTCAATTCATACAAGGCTAATTGACTTTTGGGAATCTGGTTTTTAATATAGTCTTCCTCAAGATAATGTGCATTGGTGCATTGGTGCTAACAATGACCGTTTTATCTTGAGAACTATAAAATAAACCAC